AAAGAAAAAAAAAAAAAAAAAAAAAAAAAAAAAAAAAAAAAGGTGTACAATTTATGTTATGTGGGTTTTATCTCAATTAAAAATTGCCAAAATGAAATGAAAAAAAAACAAACAGGAGCAGCACACAGTGTGTTATTACCACCATTAGTGGGAAAGAAGGGTGCAGTAAGTATGCTTGTATGTGCATAGAATAATTGTGTGGGCTGGCTGGTTAGCTCAGTTGGTTAGGGTGTGGTGTTATAACACCAAGGTCAAGGGTTTGGATCTCTGTTCTGGCCAGCCACCAAAGGGAAAAAAAATTTTTTTTGTAGGATACGCAAGGAAGTGGTAATACTGATCAACTTTGGAGAGAGCAACTGGTGGCTGGGGGGCAGGAATGGGAAGGAGTTTTTCTCTGTTATATACTTCTTTTCCTTTTGACTTTTGTACATTTTATTACATGTAAATGTAATACCTATTTTTAAATATAAAAAATGAATTAATGTAATTACATTTATGGAGTGCCTACTATGTGCCCACAGGTACTATTCTAAGTGCTTTATATTCATGTAGTCTTCACAATTACATTCTTTTGTCCTATTTTTATCCCCATCTGCAGAAAAGGAAACTGAGGCACATAGAAAATAAATTATGTGCCCAAAGTAACATAAATAGCAGGTTAGAATTTGAACCCAGCCTGTCTGGCTCCAGAGTCCTTGCTATTGACTGCTATTCTACATTGCCTCTCAGAAATGTAATGGAATCAAGGAGGAGGACAGGGGGAAAGTGGGTGAGGAGAAAGGAAGGAGGGGCAAGACAGGAGGAACACAACGGAAGACATGGAGGGAGTAGAGGGAGAGAAAGAAGATATCAAGAAGGAGAAAAGTGAGAGAAGAGGGAGAAGGGAAGGAGGGAATGTATAGAAAAGACAGCATAATTTAAAGGGCAAGTACAGGACTCCCTTTTGTAAGCAGCTCCCTCTCTGCCCTTAAAGTTCTGATCTTGGCCATTTGAAGAGAATGGTGAAGAATGGGTACAGGATAGCTTAGGTCTCATGAAAGCCTGTAAAGCCTAATGGTTAATAGCATAAACTCTGGAATCAAATCTGAGTTAGGATCTCAGCTATACCATTTTATGGCTGTGTTTCTTGGGGTAAAACCTTTTTAAGCTTCCACTCTTCATCTGTAATATAGGACAATATTAGTACTTGCCTCACAGAGTTAATATAACAATTTAAAGAATGTATTTCAAGCACAGAATAAGTAGCAACAAATGGGTAGCTATCATAACATTAGCAATTGACTCTTTGGACACTAGATGACTGAGTTATAAAGTGTAAAAAATCAGTGGGGAAGATCATACTCTGTGGAAGAAAGACCATCAAACAGATAAAGGCCAAAGATGGCAGCTCCAAAAAGGAAGGAAAAGGAAGAAAGCTGGAGTCATACACAGGGCAACTTAAGATCCACCTGGGAATGCCCAAGTCACATAGCACAAAGGAGAAATGGATTTCCACAGCCCTGTACACCTCTCAAAAGACTCCTTGACTTCTTAGAAATCCATTACCACATCTGTGCCAAAAGAAGGCAACCCCCAAGTTTTCACACTGCCAACCTTCCTTTAGTAATGGCAAAATTTATTAGGGTTGTGATTTTCCATCTACTAATGGATCCTACCTTATATAAGATGGAATCAGTTCATCTGAAAACTTCCCAGTCCTCCTATCTACCCCTACTTCTAATTTCTGTTACAGTTGTGCTAATGACTATTAAGAGTTAAAAAAAAAAAAAAAAAAAAAAAAAAAGCCAAAAAACTAAGTGTCGTGCTTCATAAACATAGGCTTTTATTTTGACAAAGACATAGCTAGCAGTGACCGTAAAAGGCTAGTATATTTAATATGTACACTTAAAAAGGAGAATTTGGGGCATTTCCTTGTGTTATATGCAATAAGAGAATCATGATCCCTTCAGATTTTTTTTTAACATATACATTCTTGAGTTTCTTCTGTTTTTTTATTCTCCTTGACATCAGCCACTCAGTCAAATCCTGAAAGAGGGAACATAAAGAATGTCATGAACACAAAGAATGTCCTCAGCAATTATAAATTTAACCAATGGCCCTAGGAAAGGAGAATATCTGCAAGGCTCTAAGCAAGAAACTATGTATAATCTTTCCTTTTTCTTGCCTACATCGTACTATTTACCTTCATAGACATTACATAGTGACTTTTAAGGCCTTCTTTTCCTCTTAGTGACCATCCAGCTCCTCCAAGGAAACAACCCAGTTGTTCAAGCTAGACACAAGGAAGAACTTCCTACACCTAAGGGTTATAGATGCTGAAACAAAGGGCTGCAGGAGGCTAAAGAAATTACTTTGTTAAACAATATATGGGACTCCTGTCTGTCCAGGCTATGTCCAACACTAGGGAGAGGACTATACTTACCTCTAGAGCAAGGACTAACTCCTTACATCTTGTGTGTCTCTTCTGACTTCATAGGTGTAGCCTTTGACTACTTGTAAGAATCTGAGATTGTTCTTTATGTCTCACACAAGGGTTCTAGGAAGGAATGCTTACTCTGTGTTCCTAAATTTCTTTCATAAGACTTGTTTTCCTCCAGGAATTCTCCCTCTATCCAAATCCTGGTCAAACAAGTGTCATAAGGTCTGATGGATTCTCTTTTCCCACATCTCATTACAGAGGCCTTAAGTTCAGAGACCCGCTGGTGATAAACAGGGCAGGTCACACATCGAGAGAAGAACTCTTTAAAATACTGAAATGAAAGGAAGTTTCATTAGCTCTGGGATTATTACTTTCTTTTTCTAACACATCACTTCATCAGAATTTACAATAGTCCCCACTCAGCATACTCACTCAGGGCTGGGGGAACAGGGAGGAGTTATTGATGGCAGAATAGGTCTGGGAAATTGGTTTTGGGATATAGAGAAGTTGCAATTCATCTTAGATTGAGAAAGCAGGGCTGTAGGGAAGATGTGTCAAATTACAGACTGAGCCATAAAGTCGGTCCATTGAGAAGAGACAAATGTTAACATTTTAATGCTATTAGGTAGTAGCTGTGCAAAGGTGGAAAGTTAAGAAACCAAGATACAAGAATATCTGGGAGGGTACATGAGGCAGGCGGAAAGTTTCTAGGTGGAGAAACAAAGGGTTCAAGGAGGAAAGGGAGATACAGCCAGTGAGAGGAAGAGTAAGGGGAGAATACAGGTGGCAGGAAGAGTATTACAGGGTGTGACCAAATGAATTAGGTGTCAGTTGAAGGACAGCAGAGAAACAGGTACCTTGAGGGCTTGGCTGTAAGTCTCAGGGGGAATATGCATGAAGACACCCGCTGGCATTTTCTGTAACATCAGCACGTGGCACTCTAGAAATCGAACAAAGCCATGTGAACCAAATAGTGAAGCATTGGTTCTTTTCACCAACTGGCAAGCCTTGGAGAAGTGGTGCTCAAACAGGTCCCACTGTGAGTCTTGGGCAAACCTGGAGGGAAAGAGTCATAGCTTTCAGCTCTATCCCCAGTTTATCAACCATGGCTCTTTCACAAAACTGTCACTTCTTTAAGGCTCTAAGACATCCTGGACAGTCATGATTATGATGCTGGAAAGTGGCCAAGGCTACTAACTCACATGCAAGGAGACCAGTGATATTCAGCCTTGCCATGGGTTACTCTAGCACTTAAATGTAACTCTAAACTTAAACCTCAATCTATAGGCCCAAACTTGTTAAGGGACAAGAATGCTAGTAATATGGGAAGGGATGGGAGGTGAATAGTCTTTAAAAGCTGGTTGGAGATGTTGAATAGTTCTGCCTGGAGGGGTGACATAGCTTAAATGACTTAAATTTCTACCCTTACTCACAGACCCTGAGTAAGACATTACCACATGGCCAGGGAGGAGTGAACTCCCAGCATGACATTGCTCTGAGAGGTTAGAACACAGCTGTGCTCGTAGTGTTGAATGAAGTGGAGACACTCGCCAAAGGGCCTACACAGCAATCCTGTGGACAGAGAAGGTAACCAGGCTAGTATACGTTGTCAACATAGGATCTGGGGTATAGAAGGTATGTGGTACACGGAAGAAAACAAGACCTGAAAGGCAGACATCCCTGAATCACAACGTGGTTCCCAGATTTTAAGGAGCCAGGGGCCAGGAGCAGAGGCCATGTCTGAGGTATAGGCTCATGACTGCCTGTGTTCCAAATCTAGTGCCCCATCTGAGGTCTGAATCCCTCTGGAGTACAGCAGAGCCCTGAGCAAGATTTACCTTTTCCATAGAGCAGCAGATCTAAGCAAGCAGAGTAGAAGCAGGCCAGGCTGAGGACATCATGACCCTGGGAAATGAGCGCCCACTGACTCTCCAACACATGGACACACAGATCAAATCTGCCGAAAGACAGAGCCACTGGGACCAGCTAGGGAGTGAGGAGGATGATGCAGGAAAGGAGGGGATCTGACACCTTCAAAGCAGCTCAACACCCCCTAGTTCTCCTCTCCATAGCTCTATTTATATAGAGAACATCTGTGCCTTGGATCAGACCTGTCTCTAGGCAAAGGAGGTGGGAAAATGCCTCTGAGGCAGTTTCCAGGGTTTTGAGCTGCTGCAATTCCCCACCTCCCTGCAGAAAAATGAAAAAGAAAGTTAAGAAAAAGAAAGTTTGTCCATGAGCCTCAAGTGCTGAGGAATAGTAGCAGCTCTGACTGCATTTCCACTCTTGACCCCCATACGTGAGATAATGCTTCCTGGGGTGTCCAGGGGAAAGACAGCCCTGGCTGTGGAAATGTAATGGCATCTCCCTCTCTACTGCAAATTTCTCTGAGAGAATATACCCACCCCTCTTAGGAAACAAATACCCTCTTAGGACAGAAAATAATCTTAATACTTCTTCTCCAGAAATGCAGATCTGAAGAGAACTGAGAGAACCAGATTCTCCAGGGCTGGTTTCTTGAGGTGTCTGCATATCTCAAGAGCTTGAAAACCTAAGGAAGTTAAAGAGTATTGCATGAGGTCTAGCAGTGAACTTGGACTCTCTAAAAGCCCGAGGACCACCAGCCCCAAGCCCCATTACCCAGCTTGATGGAGAAGTCAAGATGGCCTAGGCAGAGCTTGGTGTAGGCCAAGGCTTGCATGAGCTGGGCTGTGGCCAACAATCCCTCTCTGGAGAACCAACATAGGCTGCTTTTCTGAATGGCCATTTGTTCACAGTGCAGCCACTTGTCCCTGTCACCCATGCTCTGGGAGAACTGGGAGAGGTCCACATAGGTAGAGACAACCTGCAGGGCAACAAACATAGGGTAAAATATTCCCATTGTATATTCACATGACATCTCCCTTTTGTCTCTCTCTTGTGTAAGAGCCTGCTAATGTACCTTGCTGCTCACTCAGTCTGTACTCCTGATGCCCCTACCGCTTGCCTCCACTCCACTGGAAAAACATGCTCCTTCCCACCCCTACACTTCTAACTTGATCATTCTTACTGCCTGTTCTTTAAACAAACCACTTTCTCTACATGCCCCTCTTCTTCATCTCCAATCCAAGACTTTCCCTTCAAAGCACTGGCCAAACAGACTCTTCTTTGTTTTCTCTATAAAGTCATCTGATTCTTGCTCCTTGAAGTTCTTCAAAACTGCTGCCTAGATCTCTGTCATAACCACATGCACATTTGATATAATTAATGACTTTCTTCTTGAAACACTTTTTTCCCTATATTTCCAGGACACTGTGCTCTCCTCTCTCCCTGGCAACTTATCTTCAGTTTCTTTTGCTGATTTTTCCTCATCCTCCTGACCTCTTAACATTGGAGCTGTTAATGCAGTCTTTGGAACTCTTTTCTTTTCTACATTTATTCCACTTATCTTCAGTTTCTTTTGCTGATTTTTCCTCATCCTCCTGACCTCTTAACATTGGAGCTATTAATGCAGTCTTTGGAACTCTTTTCTTTTCTACATTTATTCTCGTTGTGTTCTCACCCAGTTTCATAGCTTTAAATAGCATTTACACACTGATGACTCCCATATTCCTATTTCCAGCTCAGACTTCTGTTAATCCTAGGCTCATCTATTCAACTGCCTACTCCATATCACTACTTGGATGTCTAGGCATCTCAAATTAAACATGTCCAAAGCCTAACTCCCAATCTTTCTCCTGCAGTCTTCCCCATCCCAATTAAAAGTCTCTCTAACCATCTAGAATTTCAGATCACAGATCTTGGGATTATCCTTGACTCTTCTCTTTCTCTCACATCCCAGAAAGGATCTACGAGTGAATCCTGTTGGTTTTATCTTGACAAAAGGCCACTCTTCCTCACTTATTCTGCTACCACAAGAATCCAAGCCACCACCATCTCTTGCCTACATGACTCTAATAACTTCCTAACCAGTCTCCCTTCTTCCTCCCTTGCCCCCTTCAGTTTATTCTCAATACAGTACCAGAATGATCTTGTTAAAATAAAAGTAGACCCTGTCATACCTCTTCTCAGAACCAATCAATGGCTTTCCATTTCTTTTAGAGTAAAAGCCAAAACCCATCCAGTGGCCTATAAGGCCTGCACTATCTGCCATTCTGCCCCTCCCCAGTCCCTCTGACCTCACCTCCTGGGATGCTCTCCTCCTCTCCCTCCCCTCAGTCACACTGGCCTCCTCACTGTTCCTCAAGCACAGAGGGCATGCCTTGTGCATTCACTGTGCCCTCTGCCTATATGCTCTTTTCCCAGACAGTCTGGCTTACTTTATCACCTCCTCCAGATGTTTGCTCCAATTGTCACCTGCTCAGCAAGGCTTTCTCTGACCACCTTGTTTAAAACTGCACCCAACCACCTCCCCCTGCCTCCACTTAATTTTTTTCCACTGCATTTAGTATTGCCTAATATGCTAGATATTTTACTACATTTTAACATACTTCATCTGTTTTTCTGAAGCCAAGATTCAATGCCTGGAACATAATAGGTTTTCACTAAATATCTGTTGAATAAATGGATAAAAGAGAAAGACAGACAGATACTAAAATTAGGAAGACACATTTCCGTTCCTCTTTTCCTAAGTCAGCAGTTCTATTCCTTTTTTGGATCATGAACTTCTCTAAGAATCTGATGAAATTCATGACCCCTACCCTAATGCTCTTTTGAACATACAAACAAAATTCTGCATTCAGTTGAAAGAGCTCACAGATAACCCCATACCTAGAAACCCATTTATAAACTGCAAATTGAAAAACCGGGCTCAAACACATGATCAGTAGTCTCCAGTTAAAAATGGGTTATTGGGGAACCATACTAAAATCATGAAGTTTGCAGGGTCTTTCTCCCTAGTGCTGAGTTTTCTGACTGAGGTCCAGAGGTAAAGCAAGGACTGGCTCACCTGGGCTTCATTTGCAAACTCCTCAGCCGAATTCTTCTGCATAAGAGTGGCCAGGCAGGCAAACCTGTGGCTGTTGGCTGTGGCCTCTAGGTTATAGAGCTGCCAGAGCAGTGAGAGGGCATGCACCCGCTGCTGCAGGACTGCTAGCTTCTTCTTACTGTTACAAAGCACAAGGCAGTTAGCAAAACCTTACTCTTCACCAATGCCCAACTTACCCTCCTCTTAAGAGATACAAGTCTACTCATCATGCAGCCATCTGTAGACTTTCAAACTCAGAAATGTTCTTGGAATCCCACTGTTCCTAACCCCATATGCCATTTTAATTTCATCCCTCTTGACCAGGAAAGTTCATCCCTCTTTACCAGGATAAGTTCAGAAAGAGGTTTTACAAAAAGATCCATTCTTCGAATTACTATTTGCAACATTGAACTGGATGGGAAAATAAGGTGGAAGACCTAGAAGTGTCTGTTATATACTTATTTGTTACATGCATATATGTATATGCTGTCTTTTATACTGTCATATGCTTGTCTGTTATATGCTTGAAGGTTACTTGATAGTAAGAAAAAGAGGAGTCTTAGGTCACAGGTGAAGTTCCAGGCTGGGTCCTAGTTTAGCTATACAGTTCTCTATGGCCCTAAATGAAACCAGCACAGCTTGTTCAGGCTTCTTACTTCTCACTAGGGTTGTCTGGGGGTTGGATCAGGGAACAGGAATGCCAATACTTTTCCAGGAATGTTTGGAAAAGGACACCAAACCAGGTCGAAGGGAAACTCCTTTTCAGCAGTTGAAGAGCTTGCCTAGCCAATTTTTTGGCCAAGGTGATCTGTCCCATGTTAAAACAGACCTGGAGATGGGATAAGAAATGTAAATGTAAGCAGAGTACTATGGACTAAGTTTTGGGTGTAACACACTGGCTCTTTCATTTTGAGATGTGTAATTGGGGTCACTAAGGTGCTAGAGTGAGCTGGGTTGGAGCACAGCCTGTTCAGCAGTCACACTAACAAGTACCAGTAGGACCATAAGCAAGTAAAGGGGTGGGGAAATAGGATTATGAAGAAAGCACCCTTCTTTCTCATCTCCCACACATTTGTCAGTGGGTAGTAGAGGAAGGTTGTGATTTAGAAAGTGGTACAGTTAGACTGAGATGAAATCATCATTTGTGTGAAGACTCCAGTGCTCTCAGATGTCATGGAAAACATCTGAAATATCACCAAATCCTGTATCTCTCCTTCCTAAAGAATTTGTATCACCACAGTGAACGTGGTGGTGGGAGGTGAAAAACTACCTCGAGGTGATCCTAAACCTTCACTTTCTAAGGCAAAATGCCCCAAGAAAGTGATAAAGTTTATGTAATACTAGAACAATTTTGGGAGAATTTTGCTCCAAAGGCCTCTTGGTTGAAACACAAATAATGTAATACCATGAACAACGCTAACATTTCCTTTGGCCTTCAAAGGCATTATACACATTAAGTTTACTCTCCTCACCAGATTATCTTAAGGTTTACATTAAAATTAGTTTATTTATACTTCAATGAGCAAAGGACATGAAAATAAAATTTATAGAAAAATAAATGTAATGACCAGTGAACATATAAGAATAATTTACCTTATTAATTAAGAAACACACATTAAAATACAATATAGCTTTCATCTAGGGATTAGCAAGTTTAAAAAAGACACAATATCTGATGTTGGTAAGGATGTGAAGAAATGGGAAAAACTTGAATTGATAGAGTATTTTAGGTGGGCAATTGTCATTTCTATATCTGGAAATTTCTCTTACAGAACCACTCTCACAAGAGCAGAAAAAAAAATATTTAATAAGATTATTCACTGTGGCAATGTTTATAACACCAAAATTAGAGATAACCTAAATGCACATAAATAAGGGAATAGTTAAACTATGGTAAACCCATGCAATGGAATGCTTGGCAGCTGTAACTACGTGATAGATCAATATGTACACCAATATACAAATATGTCTAGTCTGTACTATTAAGAATGAGAAGGTAGAATATGATCCTATTAAAATAATAATAAAAACCAATAATGATATGGCTGTGTGTGTGTATAGTTTGCAGAACATACATCAAATTATTCACTATTGTGGGGATGGTGTGGGATTAGTGGGGGTTCTTTCACTTTCTACATATTATATATTTCTATATCTTGAATTTTTGCAACCTTTTATCACATCATCATATTTACAATCACACACGCACAAAAAACAATGAAGAAATTAAAAAAAAATATATTTCTATATCTTGAATTTTTGCAACCTTTTATCACATCATCATATTTACAATCACACATGCACAAAAAACAATGAAGAAATTAAAAAAAATAATAATAATAGGGTAACCCTAAGGAGAAATAACCAAAATTTCACAGTCACCCTCTGTCCTCACCTCTGACCGAAGACAGCAGAAAGTAGCCTCTTCGAACTGACAGATCTTCACCTTGCGCTTTTTTAAGAATGAGAATGCTGAGGCTTGGCCCAGAACACTGCTTGCCTTCCTCAGATAAGAAAAGGCCTCCAAACAGGACAAGATATAAAGAAACTGGATTAGGATTAGAATGACGCTAGGGGTGAGATTAGGATGAAGCCTGGAGTAAGGTTATGATGAGAGTCAAGATCTGAATTTGAATCAGGTTTGGATTTTGAGTTAGAAATGGGGAGCTGGGGACCGGCCCGGTGGCGCACTCGGTAGAGGCGGCGCTTGGGAGCGTGGCTGCGCTCCCGCCGAGGGTTCGGATCCCATATAAAGACTGGTCCACTCACTGGTTGCGCGCGGTGCGGGTGCGACACAGAGGGTTGCGATCCCGTTACCGGACACAAAAAAAGACAAAAAGGAAAAAAAAAAAAAAAAGAAATGGGGAGCTGGACTGCTTGTCCAAGAGTCAGGAGCAATGCTAGCATGGGTTGGTGCTCTGTCACTACCACACTCCCATTTCATGTTTTCTCCTAAATCCCTTCCAGCTCCTCTCTCTCTCTCCCATTTTCTTCCACTTTCCACTCACAGTTACTTGACAGTAAGAAATCTCAATCAAATTCCCAAAGTAAAAGGGCTCAGCTCAAAGGCAGAGAGCAGAGCTTGCTCACCATGTAATTATCTGACAGGTCCAAGGAGGCAGCAGCAGCCTCCAGCAGGTAATAAAATGCACAATTGGTTTCTCCAATGACCATGCAGTGCTGGGTGAGGGGTGAGAGCACTAATTTCAGGATTTCCTCACAGTGACAAGGCTTTGTAGTCAACAGGTCTTTTTTGGGGCTGGTCTGAGCCAACTTCCTGTTAACTTGATTCAGGAACTCCTCCTCTGTTCTTTGTGGAGAGAAAATGAAGAACTGAGAATGGCCACAAAGCTGCCACTTTTGTTGGGGCATTACCAGGCCTCAAAACCACTTTTTCCAGGAAGATTTCCTGTACAATTCCTTAATTCTATGTCTATTCTTCTCCATCATGCCATACGTTTTTGAGTCGGGTACCAGAGCTAAAACTGCAATGCTCTATTAGCGATTTAAAAAAAAAACTAAATCCAACCTGGGTACCTCACAATTTAAATGTGGAAACATCACAGCTGAAGAATAAACTAGCAATGTAAATGTTAAATAAAATATAAAAATGATACAAAGCAACAAGTAATATTTTTTTAGCATATTTGAATTTCGTAATAGCATATTTGAATATTATTTTATACATCATCATCATCTAATCCTACAATAATCCTTTCAGGCAGGCAAAAATTACCTCTCTTTTACATATGAGGAAACTGAGGCTCAGAGATACTAAGCGACTTATATATGGCCCCACAGCTACTGAGAAGTAGAATTAAAACTAGAGCTCCCTCTCTACCAGTCTAGTGCACTTTCTATAGACGAGTTCAAAAGAGGTCAGATCTCTCTGAGCTACAATGATCTAAAAAAAAAAAGTGAGAACTAGGAGGGTCTTGAAGGATAGTCAACATTCTGATAAGTGGAGGAATGCAGAAGCCACTCAGCATTTAAAAAGGGAGAGTTGTGTGAGCAAAGACAAACTGGTGAGTGTGGAAGTAGTTCATGTGGAATGTAGATTTTTCTTTAAAAACAGTAGAAAATCAGGTTTCCCATTGGGTGGAATGGGAAGCTGTATATAGAATGGCTGGTGGTCTCAAGGTGGGGTCATTTAAAATTGATGCAGTAGGCATTAGAAAGCCAGGAGGAAGTAAAGATCTCTAGGACATATTATTTAGTTAAACAAAACAAACGGCACTACAATACTTACAGTACAATGCCGTTGAACTAAAAAATGCAAAACCATATACATGTGTGCTTATATAAGTAAATAAACACCTAGAGAAAGGACCGGTTTATATACATGATTAACAGCATTTATATTAGGAAGAGAGTAGGGAAGAAGAGCAAAGAGAAACTTGCATCTTTTCAATATTCTTTAAAAAATTTTAAACTAGAATTTATTCAAGTTTTATTTGTATAACTAAAAAAATTAACAATAACAACAAAAAGAAAGCCAAGAGGTATGTGGTTAGGAATGCAAATTCATTTTAATATTACCTGGGGCAAAAATAATTGAGAAGACAAATTTATAGCTGAAAAAAAAATCTGGCATGTGTACAATGCATTTGAAAACTATTAAATAAAGTTCATTCCACTAAGAAATAATTTCCCTACAGAGAATTGAACATTGCCTTTCCAAATCTCTTTAACCTGAATTTTGAACTGAGTACAACAGTCACTACTCTGGGTTGGTCAGATGCTCTTCTGGTCTGCTGGTGAGGTTAGTGCCCCAGTTTAATGGTCGCGCCCGTCTCTCACTTTTGGCCACCTCTGTGTCTACCCTCAGCATCTCCATCTACCTGCAGTGTTCACTTGAGAAGGCCTCCTGACTTCTGGATGGTTTTGTCTGGAACTGAAAACTCTCTGTAGGGAGAAAAAATATGATTAACTTTAAGTATCCATGTTTGGATTAACTGAGGACATTTTAAATTCCTGACTACCTTTCCACTGCAGTTTATAATACAAAAGTAGGATGGTAGATTGTAAATTCCTTAATTTAAATTAAACCTATTTAATTTAAATTCATCTTAATTCATCTATTTGTGATTAAAATAGTAACTACCCTCATTCCCAAATCCCCCAAACCAGTTCCTAACTTGAAGGAGGCACTCAATGTTTGCTACATGAAGGAAAAAAATGAATAAAGAATGGTCCATCATGGTTTGATGGCTACATCTCATAGTGAAAATTCCTGAATACATCTGAATCAGGTTTATTGCCAAATCAGAGTGAACTGCAGAACCTAAGACCAAGAAAACCGTAGGAGCACAAGACGCCAAAGTCTGCTGGAGTCACAGTAGCCAACAGAGGTTTCCAGATTTTCCTAGATGCCTTAAATAGCCTTTATACTCCAGGTTTGACTTGTCTTCTGCAACTACCTTCTCACAGATCAAAACAGCAAATATAAGGTATGACGTTGAGATGTTACCTATTAGGGCTCAGAGCACGGGTGGCAGGATTGATAAGGAGCCCAGGAAAACTGTTATAGGGAGGATATGGGTGAAGTAAAAGGTTAGGCTATTTGATGGTAATGATGTCAGATAATAGCTAAGGTAATTGAGGAAATATGTTTGGTTGCACTACTACGATGCATGACTCCAAGGGCCACTATCACATCATAGCTTCTGTGAATAGCACCCTCTGGAAATGGGCAGTGCCTGGTCTGAAAGGCCATTTCCCAGAGGCCCTGGATCTGGGAAGCCTATTCAGGGTTCAGCTTGGCTTGGAAGGACTTGAGTCTCTCCTATAGACTGACTGGACTGTGGAATCCAAAGCTGACACTGACTACTCAAAAGCAAAGAGCGATACAGGAAATATGAACCATAGTACAATTTCTCCATAATACCAGACCTCAGAAAGCACAGAAAGTGCAAATGCCCACAGAATTCATCAGCCAATGCTCAGTTGCTCCAAGTCACTAGTCCACCTTCACAGAGTCATGGTAATATTACAGTTAAAAGAAGTATTAGGATCATAGATCAAATCCCTCATTTTAGCCTTTCACCAGCAATAATCTACCATTTCCCCCAAACTGTCCCCCGACCACCAATACCAAAACCAACTTCTCTTCTATCAAAGTAGAGAAAGAGAAGATTTAGTTGGGTCTTGACAGCTGTCTTCAAATATGGAAGAGGGCACAATTAGGAAAAATGGGCAAAGCTACAAAGACATAGATTCCACCTTGATGAAAGAAGAGAAGAAACTTCCTGATAGATGATGAAATGAGCTGTCCTGTAAGGTAAGCTAACTGAAAAGATTAAAACAAAGACAGATGAATGGTTGTCTGAGATGTGGTTTAACAGGCTATGGTGCATCTATACACTAATACCACCTTCTTCAAGTACTTAACTCCCACCTCAATTCTGGGGCTGGCCAGTTAGCTCAGTTGGTTAGAGTGTGGTGTTATAAAAGCAAGGTCAGGCCGTCAAGCTGCCAAAAAAAAAAAAAAAAGACTCAATTCTGGCATTATCGCCTTCAAGGGAGAGTCTTCTCTGACATACTCCTCAGGCTGAGTTAATGGCCCCTTCTCTAGGTATCCCCAAGCCCTATGTATGCCTTTTTCATTGCCTTTACCATGCCATACTTTAATTCTCTATTTATATGTCTGTATTTCCCCAAAAAACCAATAGCTTCAGGAGGGCAGAGACCAAACACATTTTATTCCTAACACCTAGAACAGCATCTTATACACATAAGAACTCAATATATGTGCACTAAACTGAATAATAAAAACAATAACTAGGGAACCCCAATCAGGCTAACATCAGACTTTTCATCACACACCCTAAAAGCTAGAAAGGAATGGGATGATGTATTCAAAATACTAAAAGACAAAGATTGCCAGCCAAGAATACTCTACCCTGCAAGGCTGTCCTTCCAAAATGAAGGGCAAATAGTATATTTCTCAGGCAAACAAAAACTGCGGGAGTTCACCACCACACGACCACCCTTACAAGAAATTCTCAGGGAGTACTGGGTTTGGTTCCTGAAAAATAACTACCATTGCCATAAAAACCCAAGTAAAATCAAAACCCACTAGTATATTAAAAATGACAATCATGAAAAGAAAACAAACAAATAAAAACAATAACTAAAATGTATTGAGCACTCACCATGTGCCTGTCATTGTTCAGAGCACATTACGTATTTTAGCTAATTTAATTCTCACAACAACCCTGTGCAATTGGTGTTATTACTCTCCCCAATTAATTGAAGTTAAATAACTTCTCCAAGACTGCCAACCCAAACAAATATAATATCTAAGGTTACTTTTTTTTTTTTCCTTTTTGTCTTTTTTTACTGACCGGTAACGGGATTGCAACCCTCGGTGTCGCGCCCGTACCGGGGACCGGCAATGGGATCGCAACCCTCAGTGTTGCGCCCGCACCGCGCTCAGCCAGTGAGCAGGAACCAGTCTCCACATGGGATCCGAACCCTCGGCGGGAGCGCCACCGCGCTCCCAAGTGGCGCACTCTCCAGTGCGCCACCGGGCCGGCCCTCTAAGGTTACTTTTAACCGTAGATTACGTTTTTCTTATTTCTCGTACTTCAGGGATAAATGGTTCTTTTTATCTACTTTTCTCCCTTAATCTGACTTCAACTTTTTGATGTAGAGCTCTAAGTACATGAATAAGGAGAAGTGCTGCCCACATATCCTTTTGCTGCTTCCTGAGTTTACCTTGGGGAGAAGGCAGCTGCAATTTGTCTGTGATCACTTGTGATAGCACGGAACCAGTATCTTTGTAAGTACAGAATCTGGTGGTCCCACTAGAGCTCTTAGTAGAACAGATTGCAAATCGATGGAAGAGGACAAAGTCCCCTCCATGGCAACTCCCACAGCGGCAGGCCAAATCTTGGAGAAAACAGGCACATTCAAGGTGCAGAGCTATCTGTTGTTCTTTGGGCCACAGCTCCCAAGCAGCTTCCCGTAATAGAGGCACTCCAAATTCCAGCACCTCAGTTTGAAGTAGGAATAGTTCCTCTTGTAGCCTAAGAGAGGCTGAACCAAAATCTGAAATTTAGGAAAATCTAAGTGAGAGTCTTCCTTAAAATCCTTTTATGCCACAATGTGGCAAACTCCCAAGCACATGGCTACCAGTTTATAAGAAAATTTTATTTACAACTCTTGGTTGGTATTACTGCCTTCTTTGTGTAAAGAATTTTGCACCAATTTGAGAGTGATATTGACCATATTTAGCATAAAGTACAACAGGGAAGAAATGATCAGTGGGTACAGAAGTACACTGGGAGTATTTATTAATTGTTCTGCCTAAACTGAGTTTTTTTAAACTTCAAATTATTATAAACGTCAAATTACCAGAAAGACTCTGTTCAAATACAGGGCCTAAACATATTTCAAAGTCAAAGGGAAATTACCTGTGGATTATGTGTACTTTGGGTAGTCCACACTACAATTTTATTATTTTATGTGGAGAATTTAAGATTGCAAGCTATTTAATTTATATCTTGCTTGGTTCGTGTCTGTTTCAATATCATGTGTTTATGTTTCTTGTGAATTTCTAAAATTAGGGATGGTTTATCCTTTTTTTCTCATTATTTGCACCTAGAAGCCAATAAGAAATTATGGCAATATTTTCTGAGCCAAAAAATCAAAATGAAAATACTAACACACAGGTTAACAAGGAGCTGGAATTCTTGAAATTAAGAACATTCTGAAAAATACAGGATTTTTGACTATAACCATGGCTCCATTGTTTAAATGATCATTTTCTTCCTGTTTATTAGCCATATGTTTAAGAGAGAGGCCCTTGATACATGATATTGATAGTCTTTCTGCACATAGAAACCCCCACTGGGGCATTCTGTTTAGACCTGAGAACAAGGGAGCACTCCTTCCTCACCTGACTTTTTCTTCTTCTCTTTGGTTTGATCAATGATATGGATAGAGGAAGGCACTAATATGGGCTCAGCAGGAAGCTCTTGGCTCTTGTTGAACCAGTGGAGCACATGTATATCTACAAGAGCCCTCAACACCTGAAGTAGCTTATTTTTATCCCAGCAAGGCAGGAGGTGCTGCAGCAGATCTCTACGGAAGGAGTGACCAATGATTGCAGCACACTTGACCAGCAACTGTTCCTCTGAGCTCAGTTGATCCAGTTGGTTTACTGCTATTTCTGCCCAAAAAAAAAAAAATCAGCAATAAACAAGGTTTCTACAAACCTAGTGCCTTGGGTTGAATGTCCCCCCAAAACTTAGTCCCCATTGTGACAGTGTAAAGAAGGTGGGAAGTCCTAGTATGGTAATTGAAAGGTGTGGCCTTGAAGAGGTGATTAGATTTGTAGGACAAGCCATAGTGAATGGATTAAAAATGGTGGTCAGGGTTGTGGTTCTGAGGGCTTTAAAAGAAGAGATAGGAGAGTCTGTCTCTCTGCTCCACCATTTTCTGTCACGTGAGACCCCTGAGTTACTGTCACCACCACCAAGGCCTTCACCAGCTGTGTTCCCTGGACTTTGGACTTCCCAGCCTCAGAAACTATATCTCTCTGCTCCACCATTTTCTGTCACGTGAGACCCCTGAGTTACTGTCACCACCACCAAGGCCTTCACCAGCTGTGTTCCCTGGACTTTGGACTTCCCAGCCTCAGAAACTATAAGCAATAAATTTGTTTTCTTACAAATTACCCAGTTCTGTGTATTTTGTTATAAGCAACAGAAATGAACTAATACACCTAGAATACCTTATATTGACAATTTGTCCATCTTTTTTTTCACAAAAAATGTTTCCTTTTTGTTCACCCCATCTACTGCCTTGCCTTACTCCTCCCTTCTCCATTCAGCCAAATCTTTTGAGAGAGCCTTATCTCCATGTCCTCATTTCCCATTCGCTGTTCAACCAACAACAAAGACTACTGAAACTGTTCTCCCCGTGGTCACCAAAACCTTTTGTTGGTAGCCCCCAAACTGTGCTCTGAATCACTAAGCTACACTAATCCTTACCATTTTCATGATCTATTAGTACCTCTATTAGTATCTCTTTCTTCTAGCTTGTAGGCCAGGCTTCCTGATTACAGATCCCTGATAATTGTAAAGATCTTAATTAACATCAAATCTCTCCATATTCTGACCTAAACATTAAAGTAGTCAATATTAAACCAGTAAGTCACCAAGCCCCAAACCTTGGAATAATCCTAAACCTTTTCCTGTACCTCACAACCTGCTGGTCACCCACTGTCCTCCTTCTAAATGTCTCTTAAATATGTTTTCTACTAAACAATTTTAGTCAAGTAGTCATTTTCACTTGGATCACTACAATACTCTGTACTGCACATGTCCAACTTCCTTTCATTCTTATTCCAATAATATATTAACTAGTGGCAGAATTATATATCTAAAGTGCAAATATAATTATGTCAGTCCTCCTCTTAAATACTTTTATAACTTACATAGCCTTTTAAAATCTAGCTTTTGTCTTTCATTTAGCCCAAGGCTTTGGTGAGCTACACATTTTAGCTTGTGAATTAACAGACTTTTGTTCCTTCTCTGACAATGTTGACCTTGGGTTAATTTTTGAGCTGTTGTGTAGGATCCTGATAAAATTAGATCAGCTGTGTAACCAGATAACTTTGTTTATGCTAAGAATGACCTCTGAGTGGGGAACTTAATTTGGACTGGGAAAACTGTGAATGAGCTGGTGGTAAGCCACAGCTCTGCGCTTCCTTGTGTGTAGTAATTCTTGTAATAGGTCATGGCTGAAAGCAATACCTATTGGGCTGTTATAAGAGATAGTAGTTCCTAGTTGGGACATGGGGCTTCTAAGAAGTCATGCATTATGGTCTCATTCCCCCACACCTGAGCTATTACTTGAGACTCCATGTTAACTGCAGTGAGGGCTCCCAGTGAAGAAAACTGCCTGCTACTGTCCTACTAGCATGTTGTATTTCTTTCTAAGAAAAGCCAGTGCCAAGTGTGGCCGATCATAGTTATATGAATGTAAACTTTCTAATTGGCCCTAAAACCTCTAGAGTGAAGAGCTTATAATAGCTAACATTCATAGAATATTTATTATTTGCCATAATTTATTTCATTTAATCTTTAACCCATGAGAAGCAGCTGTTTTTATCCTCATTTGACTGGTGAGAAGATTAAGGCTTAGATAAGTTAGCTAACTTACCAAAAGTTCCACAGCCAGTAAGTGCAGGAGCCAACAGTGTCCAGGTGTTTCTGACTCCAAAGCCCTGGCTCTTAACTACCACGGTGTTCTGTACTACTGTTTCATGAGCATGTCTTATTTTCATAAAACAAGACCATACTTTATTTGAAGATATGCTTGTTCATTGTAATATTCCTCAAGAAGGTTTTGTATAGTACCTTGCCAATCAAACACTCAAATAGAACATTAAACAAACAAAAAACTCATCTCTAAGAACATACCCCCTTCAACTATGCCTACCCAATTCTAATGGCGTCTTTATTCTTTATCTCATTAATCATTATAAACTTACTTTGCACTTAAAAAAATAATAATTTATTTATTTGGCAGCTGGCCAGTATGGGGATCCAAACTCTTGATGTCTGGTGTTACAAAGCTGTGCTCTAACCAACTGAGCTAACTGGCTAGCCCTGACTTTGCACTGTTTTTTTATTAAACTCTTGCTATGTGCATAACTTTATATATTCACTAGCACCATGGGTTTTCTTAAATCTCAGCAACATTACCTCCCTTCCTTACTGTCTCCTCTGGCACAGGAATATATACAAAGGGAAACACAAGACCTAATTCTTATTAAAAAACTGGAAAAGTTTTCTGAGTCATCAGTCAGCCCCAAGAGAACAATAGGCTCACTTAAAGTAAAACATTACTCAAGTTGCATTACAAGTTTTCAAAGGGCTCTTCAGGTGATGGCAAAACTTATTTTTGGAAGGCAGGTTTCTTTTTCAGAAGAAAATAAAGCCAGAATGATAATGAGAGGCCTATACTCAATCACCCACAAAGTTATTAATTGCAATAATGTCTGTAATTGGTTTACTCGAGGTTTTTAAGAAACTTGCCTTTTAACAAAGGTGGGAGAGGCACTGTATCCAAGTTTATACCATCCTTGACTGTGCAGACATAAAGTTCCTGGTCTTCAGAGCTGGCAGGAGAAATACTATACATTGAGGATTTCACGGCACTGGCTGTAGGAAAAGAAGACTATGACTGAGAAAAACATCATGCTCAGTGACTTCAGTTTTAAAGTTACAAAAATAAAAGAATTTAGTAAAAAAACTAAAGGATGAAGATGAACGAAGTGTTTCATGGTTTAAAGTGTTTTGCCCCGCCCGTCCTGCCTATTCTCTAATTTTCTATTATAAACTAACAAAATTTTCTGTGCCATAAGATATCTAACAACTGCTCACTAATCCTGTTCACCTTGTAATAGCCCTTACTTCTATTATATCACGGCTCTAGGATGCCTTTCTGGATTTACACATACTTCTACCTTTTCTTCCTCTCCCAACCCTCCTCTCTTCTCTTATCTGCCACCCAAATCCTCAAGTCATCCTTCTCATCATAACATACAATTCTGGACTCTCATGTTTATAAATCCTATTTTCCTATCCCCAACCTCCTGGGCTGCTCAAAAAGGAACTATTGTAGATTGAATTAAGTAATCTGAAGCAGATATGTAGCATTTTCACCCAACTGCACAATGTTTGCATAATGTGCTTAGCTGGGAAGGCCTAATCTGGTCCACAATGTCAGCAGGGAACAGGTACATGCCTCATAAAGGACAGGTGATGCCATGTTGGAGAATGAACTTCAGCAGCTGGATCCACGTAAAACCCTGGGAAGTTAAGTTTACCTGAGAGGGTCTCCCACTTGCTGTTTTCCTCCTCCTCCTTTTGGAGGTCATGAAAGAGCAGTATGTCCTTAGAAAGAAGGTCCTGGCATAGGACCTCACAATAGAGGGGATTTCCAAAGCACCTGTGGTGAAGGTAGCTGTAGAGAGGTAAGTAGGGGACTGCTGATTAAAGAAGCCTACTTAAGGGGAACCAAGCATAAGAGTATTTCATACTGAGGAATCTTCTTTTGTTAAAGTCAGCTCTTGATGACACACATTAACAGAGGGAAGCAGTAATACAGAAATTTAAAAAAATAATTTCTGACCTGCTTTGAAATGCATTTTGGCAGTAACTTTTCTTTCTCAACTATTTTGCTTCTATTGATGTTAAAAGGAACTAACATCCCTTTGCTAACAGGACTGGCAGAAATTGGCCTGATCATGTATAATTGACACGTTAAGCAAGCCATCCAAGTCCTAACTGTCTTGTGAAAACCTGGGTGGATAGCCCAGAGAGGTGGCTCTTACTAGTTTACGAGGAGACTGCCCCTCTTAAATCTAGTCTTGGGCATCGTCATGGTTGCTAATACCATTCTCTCTCCCAACTCCGGTGAGACCTGAGCCTTCTCATTTATGTTATGGAACTGACTCCTCCCTTAATGAAGTGTCCAGCTAGTCCTAGCCACTCACATCTGCAGCTCTTGGGGGATGCTCACCACCCCCAGCTCCCAACATGCCATTCTCAACAGTGAGGTTGCTGCCAACTTCGAAATGGGCACAAGGATAGCCTGAGAACTCTGCAGGAAGTGCTGGGCCCAGCCACACAGTGTGAAGGTAGGTGTCAATGTCATCACCATGATGATGGGCACACTGGAGAGCAATGTTCCCAAAAACTCCCAGGAAGCTGCATCCATATACTGGGCTTCATCAATGAGGAAAATCAGTGGTGTTTCCCTCACTGCCTGGAAATAACGAAGAAACCATAACATCCTGTTATTAGAAATGAAGTCACCTGGTTTTCAAATCTACTGTGAATTTCCTATCAACAATTTAAATAAAATTTCAACACAGGCTGGAGTTTTTAGAGTAAAATGTATTCTAAGTTCAGGTAATATTTTACTTCATAAATATAAAATATACCCTGTATATCTAATTCCTAAAAATTCTGTACTGAGTTTCTTTGGAAAAGAAAATAATTAAAAAATGAAATAAGCATTAAAATATTCTCCAAATCAAACTTGAAGCTTTCAAATATTTCATTTTGGCAAAGGCTTCATCCTGTGTGGAAAATCATACTACTTTAAAAGAGCAATTTCTAAACCAGGCTGTACATCAGAATCACCTGGGAGTTCTTGCCAACACTACCAATTACCAGGCCACACTCGTGTAGACTTTAAAAAAATATATATTCACTTTTACCCACATTCCCAACTCTCATTCTACTCCCTGCTGCCTCAGGTGACCATTTTAATGTGTTTATTGTATAGCTTTTTGTTTGTATTGTTCTTATAAAATGTGCATTGTTCTTTTGTCAAATAAATTGTTTTTATGTAAATGCTACTGTATTACAGATCTAATTATTTCTCTCTTTTTTTAAAATTCAGGACTGTTTTTAAGATCATTCCATATTGCTGTTTTCATCTATTCCCTTACTTTTTTTTTCCTTTTTGTCTTTTTTCGTGACCAGTAACGGGATCCCAACCCTTGGTGCTGCGCCCGCACCGCGCTCAACCAGTGAGCGGACCGGTCTCTACATGGGATCCGAACCCTCGGCGGGAGCGCCACCACGCTCCCAAGCGCCGCACTCTACCGAGTGCACCACCGGGCCAGCCCTATTCCCTTACTTCTAACTTCTTTATTATTCTCCATCATGTTCATCCATGTGGTCATGCCTACACCTTCCTAGCCTCCACAAATACACACTGCAAAGAACATACTCCTTGGGATATACCCAAGAGTAAAATTGCTGGATCTAGAGGATGCATGTTATCAAAATTTGACTAATTACTTTTAGATTGCTTTCTAGAATGGATACATCAGTTTCTGTGCATACAGATTAAGTTCCTAAATATGTCATTAAGAAACATGATCAGGAAAGAGCCAAGACATTTTCTTGTATGCTATGCTGTGTTGTAGGACGAATCCAAGGTTAAAGATACAAACAATGAAGATCCACAAATAGGCAGGCCAAGAAATGCCTTAATCAAGGCGTGATGTGGATAGATTAAAATGAATATAAAACATCTCCACATATTGACAGTTAATGGTATGTAGCAAAAGTACCCACCTCATGAAGCACTTGAATAAAACACGTTTTAACCTTCTTTTGTCTGGCCAGGTCATCCATGTGTGAAACGTCGAAGGACAAGGGAAACTGATCAGGAAAATTATTATATATTAGCATTCAAAATGACAACCTAATAAAAATATGCAGGTTTTCCAAAGGGAGTTCTTAGAAAACCTGCATATACTATTCTATTTTGACTGAGAATAGGTTTCTGCATACTTGGGCATAGAGTTACAAGGGCCAATCCCACTAATGTTCAGAGGATGAGATTTAGTTTACTAAGGATTAGAGACAGATATCTATCTCCTTTCTCTACCAGACTCTGGAAAACCCTTAAAGGATTATGAGTAAGGAGTAATTTACAAGTTGGACTTAGCAATGTCACTTTGGGCAGCTCCAGTATCCCAGTTATGCCAAGAATATCAGGATGAATCTGTACATGAGACTTGCCAAAAAGAGATGCAGTAGACATTGCCTAACATTGTTTCCTGTGGTAAGCTGAGGCACATGAGCTACCACAGACCTAACAGCCAAAGTGAGATTACTGCTACGCCACATTAGCAAGGGCAGAGCACCAAGCAAAGCCCATCTTAAGAGAGGGCTATGCTGAAGGAATTGGACAGATTTCAGTGTTCTCTATTTTCCATTAAATACCATACTCTGCAGGCTGGGTAGATTAGAAGTGATGGAAGATGAATAAATGGAATTGTGGACCAGGGAATTTTTAGCCTTCAGTCTGTTGGGCACCAAATAAACACAGACCACTGGAAGCTTTTGAGGTTCTGATGCTGGCTCAAGTGATATATTCCATGGCTAGGGAAGAGGAAGGTAGGGTTACAGAATAAAAAACTGCAATTGACTCAAGAACACATAGATCTAATTCCTGGGGATATGTTACTGGTTAGGATCAACTTAATTTATTTAGCACTTTAAAATTTACAATGTATTCTCTTATATGCTACCTCCTTTAAGATTTATGCAAAGACCATACGAAGTACTATAATCGTCATTTCACAGATGAAAAAACTGACTAAGAGAGGCTAAGTGATTTGCTGCAGGACATTCAACTAGCAAATGTCAGAGTCAATCCTAGAATCCACTCACCTTAAAAAGGAGAAATATTGAGTTTTGGTGTCAGAGGGAATTCATATCTCAACCTTCCCATTACTATGTGTTCTTAGTGTGTGTGTGTTGTGTATATATACGTATGTGTGTGTATATGTATTGAATCATTATCTTTACATACCAGTATGTAAAGTTTATACCCACACACACACACACACACAGTATGTGTGTGTATATGTATTGAATCATTATCTTTACATACCAGTATGTAAAGTTTATACCCCCCCCCCACACACACACACACACACACACACACACACATATAAATATCCATATCCTAATTGTACATTGTATATATCTCCTAAGAGTATTGGATTAGAATAGACAATCCTTGACTATCCATAGAAAATAACAGTAACCCAATTCAGAAAGCCACTGCCTTCATTACCTTCACAAAGAAGAGGTCATTAAAAAGGCAGTGAAGTGGTTCTTCCACCATCCCACGGAGCTGTCTGTGTAGGTACTCTTGCCGGTAATAGGCTGGGCATGTATCAATCTCAAAGAAGATGGCCATGAGGGTCTGGATGGCATAGAAGCACTGCTTGGAATCTGCTTCTTTCAGCTTCAATGGCAACACCCTGGTGAATGTTACTATGGTCACTGGGAGTTCACTGACCCACACAGAGTTTACCTACTCGACCCAGTCCAAGGATGCTGGGCCTAATGACACAAGAGTCTCTACAACAAGGGGAAAAAGCCCCCAAAGAAGTAGGCTCTGAATAAGTCAGAAAGCAGGAGTCTTTACCTATGTCCTTTCTTCTGGGCCAGGAAGTTTATTTCAGCCAAGAGCTGGCTTTTTCCATAGCCTTTTCCACCTTCATATAGAACTGCTTGTCCCTTCTTTTGGTGCGAACACCCCCACCATGCCATTTGGAAGGCTTTCAGTTCTTTCTCCCGATCTGTAGAGAGACAGGAAGCACCTAACAATCCTGTGATTTTAGTAGATACTCTACTTATTTGAACTAATTTGCAAAGCTATTTCTCAGAATGGCTTTTTTCTTTCAGAATCTCTAGCAGAATCCCATTCTTTGACAGGGCTTCACATCTCTTTCTAGAAAATCAACTCTGGACTATACGGAAATGTGTACTGATCTTGAGGGTTTGTTCCAGAGACTAAGTAATAACCCTTAGAACAATAAAGCATCACATGGACATGGGAGCTACTATATCTTTAGTCTTTTTAAACAATTTCCATAATAATTTAGTCTTCAAAGTCTGTCACTGCTATGTAAAAATAATGAATCAATACATGTAAATTAAAATAAATATAAAAATAGGGAATATAAATGTGGGTGGCAACAGTCTTGGTGCTATCTTCAATGTTCTAAGGACAAGGACTTTCTCTCAAAAGATGATCCACAGCAAGTCGTTCAGACCTCAATAGCTGAATTTTGACTTATAAAGATTCTTACTAAATGTTGGGACTTCTCAGGCAAAGTGATAGGACTCCACCTGAAATCTGAACATTCAATATGGAAAAGAAATGATAAGTTATCTTCAAAACAAATATAAATTCACTAAGAAGTTTGTTCTCTATTTTTTAATAAATTTTAAAAGCATTTAGTCTTGCTGTCTGTTTTGTTTTCAAAATCATATTTAGTCAACTACAGCTGAAAAATATGATTTAAGTTAAACAAGAAAACTTACCTAAAAAAGGATAATTTTTATTTCTTTCTCTGGCCTGATATCTCTTCCCAAACATTCTGGGAAAAAGAACACAGGGAAATGTGTGTCTTAAAAATAGATACAGGAATAATTGTCCTCATAAGCAAGTACTTTGAAATAACTAAAGAGGTACAGAGTTCTGTATAAAAGGGTTTTTATAAATTAAAAATCGGTGAAGAGAGGGAGTGGAGAAGTATTACCGATTGTTCCAAGCTCAGGGAAGTAAATAAATTGTAAAGTACACAAAGAAAAAAGAACAAAGAACATCTCAATTACTGACCTATTGCTATTCTCTTCTTGTTGCTGAACAAGCAGTTCACTGAGGAACTAGCTGAAGAGCTAAACATAAATGCTAAAAATCTCAGACACTAACCCTCCACAGTGTTTCTTATTCCAGCATACCAGTACTAGCAGCATTTTTTCCTCCTGATTTCATACAGTCAAAAACTTACTATTCCTCTGTCCTGATTCTCTAAGAGATGAGAATGAACTGTCACACAATGATACTCACATACATCTTCTATGGCCAAGATATTCATACATCTTCCCTGGGTTGGAGATGTTTTTCATCATTTTCTCTGGGAGTTTCTTGAAGTTGTAAGCAGGTAGCATGGATCTTAGATATGTTACCTCATCACAGGACACCAAACCTGGATAAGCAGTTATCATTCTTGTCACGAGGCTCACTTTCGGGCCAATAACTATGTCAGGGGGACAGCAAAGAAAAGAGTGGAGAATTTTTGGACCACCTTCTCCACCTTCATCCCTTAAGTCACAGAGCTAACAGTCCAATGTCCTATTCTACCTGTATATTCGTGTCTTGCTACTGCCCCAACCATGCCACAGAACACTGGTCCATTGGTGATACTGATGGAAACAAGCCTGGGGGTCAGAAAAGCAACAATGGGTAAATACACAGCCAGAAGCCTCCAAGTCAGGCACTGGCTCTGCCTCTCCCTAGATCCAGAAGTCTAGTTTTCAGAGCTCAGAATGGAAGAGGCCAGAGGTTGCTGTCAGTCTATATCACATGATGGGTACAAAGTACTGAGGGAGACAACCAAAAGGAACAGAATGGTACCTCTACTTTAGGAGTTTTAGTTGGGGAGGTATTATTAGTAAAAAGATCTAAAAAAATCTTATAACTGTCTGATGCTGTATAGATGCTGTTTGAAGTACTTTCAAATTGATCACCTCAACTGATCCTTTGAGAGATAATTACCTGTATGGTAGGTAAGGCAAATCTTTTAACACCATTTGAGAAAAGTAAAAAACTGGAGAGGTTAATTAACTTTCCCAGAGTTATATAGCAAAAGTGAATAGTAGAGTCAGAATGAGAATCCACGCCTCCTGAATACTAGACCAATGTTATTTCTACTATACCACGCTGCCTTAGATAAAACCCTAAAATGAAAAGTAGATCAACAGATGTTAATACAGGGTTAATGGATCAAATAATGCTAGATTGTCATAGTAAAGGAATAATCACAATGTCAAGACTGCTGATGGAAGGCTTCCTGAAGCAAATTAATCTTTGGGATAAATTTTTTTATGAGTAATTTTTTTCATTCATTTGTGCATGCATACATTCATTCATTCAACAAGCACTGAGGAGTATGCACAGTAACAAGTACTTGGTTGGATGTTTAAAATATTGCCACAACATGGAAGAACCTGGAGAAACTTGTGATGAGTAAAATAAGCAAAGCACAGAGGGATAAATACTGCATGTGCTCACTCATATGTGGGAGCTAAGAGAGAAAGGAAGGAAGGAAAGAAAGACCACAGTAGTGCAGTGGTCTTACAGAGGGAGGGGACATTCCTAGGGCTACAAAGTGGAGTAGGGGGGAGACGAGGAGGGGGAGGGAGGTTGGGGGATAATTGGGTGGGAATATGGAGGGGGAGGGAGGTTGGGGGATAATTGGGTGGGAACATGGGGTACAAAAGTAATTTCTGGTAATGGGTATGCCGCCAGTATGAATCTGGCCCTCACATCATGGGCACAGGGAGGTGACAATTAGCTTTGTATCTCATGAATGTTCTTAAATTAAAAAAAAAAGTCAAATAAAAAAATCCCACCCCGAAGAAGTTCAGTCTGGGGAAAGGGTGGTAAGGATTGCAGGAGGTGAAGAGATTTATATGCCAGCAAGACAAATACTCCATATTAGAGATCAGTACAGCACATTAAAACAGAGCAAACAAAAGGGATGCACTAGCTCATACTGGAGAGTAGCGAAAGTATTCATAAAGAAGAGGACATTTGGTTGGACCTTGAAAGTTGAAGACAATGCTAAAGTGGGCAACAGAATTCTGTCCAATGAGAAAAGGCACACACTTCAAAAAGCCTGGTATGTTGTGAAAAACTAAGTATTTTAAGAGGGTTAGAGCACAGATGGTGTTTGGAGTAGTTAAAGGTAAAAAGTGGTCCTACCTAGGCTAGGGATGAAAAAGTGTTGGAGAGAGGTACAAATTATTCAAAAATAGGGCATACACTATTCTAGGTGAGGCAAAGGCTCAAAGGTGGCAATAAGCAATTCAAAGATAGAGAAAGAAGGTACAATGAGGCATAACTAGTCTCAAGCTAAATAAACAATTTTCAGTGATCAGAGAGAACATGAAAAGTGGCAATATTAGCTAACCCTATTGCCTCCTACACCACTAAAATTCTCCTGCTTTCCTTTAAGGACAGGATTGGGGGCTCTTCCATTCATTCACTGGGCCCACTGTCCCCAGGGTGAGTAAAAGAGACACTCAAGACAAGACCAGGCAGTTGGTTCTGCTGCCACACCAAGAGCAAGACTAAAAATCTTCTAATGTTTCATGATGCTTCCTTTCCCTAAAATGCCCTTTCCCACCTTCTCCAATTGCTGAACTACTTTTCTTCTCAACCTGGCTCAAAAGTTATCTTTATAGTCAAGATTTCTTTGGTACTTCTGGAAGAATTAGCTATATCTTCCCATACCATGTTGTTGCAGCTCCTACAGCATTTTATTCCTGCACTTAAATTTCATTGTATTAAAATCACTCATTTACTGAGCTGAGGAGGTAGTATCTTATTTCTCTTTATGTCCATAGCACAGTGCCTAGCTCATAGCTGTGGTCAAGGAATGTCTACTGAATAAATCTTTTATGAATGCCAGAAACTCAGCTGTCAACAAGACAATAATGAAACAAATAATACTTTTCTCACTTGGTTATTTCTTATTTCTTTCTATTGTATTATTTGTTTCCTCCATTCTACTTGACAGTCCATTTTCCGTTCTTCTTCTAAAAACTTTCTGCATTGATGAAGAATATATTTTTTAAATGAAATATGTAATTACAACTGAAGTATTTCTGGTACTGAAAAATCATAATGATGAAATTCTGAGACTGCATTCCTTAGGTCTCAAAAATATCCTGAAGACAGCACATTCAAGGCATAACAACAACAAGAAAATATCCTGAAGAAATACTCAGGGAATTATGTTCCCTCTAAATGAGGTGAAAATTGAAGGTATTTCTCAGATTAGAAAGAGGAACTTAGAAGACGACCCAAGGTGAAGAGGGCCTTTGAAAAAAGAAGACATGGAAGTTTTGGGTCTAGGTAAGAGATGATGTGATGCAGAGAGGCACTAGCAATGGTATCTGCTTCCAAGGCCACATAAGCACCTCTGAAACTTCAGCATCTGGTTAACATTTCCAAAAGTATGTTCCTCAGAACCCTAGTTCTTTTAGATGTTTATAGGAAATATAAATTTAATATAACATTTATAGGAAATATAAATTTAATATTTATTTAAATATAAATATAAATTTGGGAAATATTGAGTAAAACTAAATATAACAAATTTCTTTACCATAAGACTACTCAGAACCTTTGATATGTTAATATAATCGTAAACCTCTAAAAAGGAAATATAGTTTGTATTACTTCTCAAACATATTTGGCCACAAGAACCTTTTTTTCATGAGTATATTAATGTAGCAGTATTCTACCAAACACACTTTCCGAAACACTAAACTAGTGATTATCTTCAAGGAAAAAAAACCACTGACCTTGAAATCTAGCTTTCAGGTTCTGACATCCATTTGGCTTACCAACATAATCTCTTTGGATCTTAGTTTCTTTAAATTAAGAAGGCTCAGATTAGATGAACTCTAATATCTCATCTAGTTCATAACATCTATTATATTTTAAACTAAATAAGACTGAAATGACCAAGTTAAGGCCTAAGAGTCATTAAGGCATCCTTAATGGCAATGTAAGACAAATGCCACTTAATGCCAAAGAAATGACTATATCTTATACAAGAGTAAGGGCCAAGGGCAAGACCGTTGAAGGCCACAGGTCCATACAAAATTCAAGAAAAGAATAGAGGAGCACTGGGAGGGATGGCCTAGCATATCCATACTGGAGATGAGACTTGGGGGTAGGCTGTAGGAGTATCAACAGATCCCACCAAATCTGAAAGAAGTGTCAACACATATTTGCCTTGGGCTAAGAGTTTCAGTATCTATTAAATAATTGTAGCATCTTTCTTATCTGTAATATTAGGAACTGAACCAGATAACCTCTAAATTCAGTACTAACATTTTATATGTCTCTGCAATTATATCACATTAATAATATATGTGATCCTTTTAGGGGGCATTTGCATTTTACAAGAGGCAGCTGTGGGGTAATGAAACAACATAGGATTTGAAGATCAAAGATCTGGGTTTTATTAGTAGCTCTGCTATATGCTAGTAACTTCTCTTCTGTGGCCTTAGTTTCTTCATGTGTAAAAGAGGGATAACAATTTTCACACTGGTAACATATACTAAAGTATTCTATAAATGTTAGAGCATTATGTACATGTGTGACAATTTTTATTTATTTTGAATAAGTTACAGCAAGCAAACCAATCTTTGACTCAATGTTAACATTGGAAATAACTGTTTTTCAAATTCATTAATGTACATATTTTCCCCATAGCTTTCTACTATAAAAAAAGTCATTTTAGAAATTCCGACCAACTTTATTATAATGCAACTAGTGGCAAAATGGGTTTTTCTATACTTTTTTTGGGGGGGGCGGGCGGGGTGGCTGGCTAGTATGGGGATCTGAGAAAGCATTTTCTTTTCTTCCTCAGCGGCTGGCCAGCCAGTTCAAGAATCCAAACCCATGACCTTGGTGTTACAAGGCTGTGTTCTAGCCAACTGAGCTAATTAGCTACCCCTTTCTACACCTTCATTCGGGCTAGGTTTCTATAGAAGGTGATGGGGGTGGGGTGGATATGGAGGAAGGAGATCAGATCACTGTGAGGCCCAGATTAAACGATGGGATTCTGGGGAAGACCAAGAGTGAAAGCCAAGAAGGAGAGCATTATCCAGTTGTGGTTCCTTCCTATCTAGGTAATTCCCCCACCACTTCTCTCATCTTCCCTCTCAAAGACAAGCAGTCTTTGTTCTGCATCCTTTCCACATATGGGTATATTATTTGCTTTATATGAATTTACACATTTACTTGTTCCTTTGCAATGTTCTTGAATATCTTGCTATGTGTGTTCTGTTCCTCCTCCCTCTTCCCCCTCCTCTCATTAAATGGAAACTTATCTTTATTTCCCCTGGGTATCCAGTACAGAGTTTGGTATCTAGTGATTCCTTTCTTAATAGATCTTTGCTGAATTTCCTTAACCTGTGTTCCCCTCACCCCTGCCCCTTTAGGCAGATTCCCTCGACCCCTGTTATTTGTTACTGCCTCCTACCCTGCCTGAAGATCCCCCTGGACCCTGAGAAGCTCCTCTCTGCCCCACCTTTCTCCTCACTTGGTCTCAGCAAGATTCTCCCTGCAGAAGCTGAAGATGCTGAAAGAGCTTTCCAGGGCATGAGCACACTCATCTGGCTTCTTATCCCCAGGAAGGCCAAAAACACAGAGGAATATGCAACCCTGGGATAGATGACAAAAAAAAAAAGAGAAGTTTACCTGACGAAGGAATATGGCTTGCCTAAACTATACCAACTCCCCTGAATGATGCCAGAACCTATTTTGATTTGTTTTCTGTCGGGAATATAGAATTCTGCAAGATTCATGAAATGGACACTCTAGGCCACAACAACATGGGAATTCTCTTTTTTAAATCTTAACTAACCATTCAAAGATATAAAATTTAAAACATAAGAAAAGTTGAGACCAAGAACTTTTCAAAAATTTAATTTCTAGAGGGTTAGTTAGCTCAGTTGGTTAAAGCATGGTGCTGATGACACCAAGGTCCAGGGTACAGATCCCTGTACAGGCAAACCGTCCAAAAAAAAATGATTTCTGTGTAAACCTTGAGCTAAGTCTATCTGTTCACATTTTCTTTACCTATAACGTCAAATATTAAGATGCTGCTTTTTTTCAAGCTCCTCAATTATCTGAGAAAGATCTGATTACATTTACTTTACTAATAGAGCCAGTAAAAAACATTCTTTATGCTTTCAAAAGAATTTTCAACAGGAATTGAATCAAAAATAATATAGAGAGTAACCCTCAGTAACCCTGAAAATTAAGTTAACTAGAACACACCATTCCTTAGCTAACATTAGTTGAAGTTTTAATGTAATATAGCTTGTTACAAAATAAGTAGCAGGAAATCTGACTTTCGCTTGTGTTTTGTAGGAGATAAAATGGTCATACAAGACTATTATTTCTCACTCACCTTTAATGCGATGTGTCAAGTTCCCTCATACTTACTTTCTCCAAGATAGAGATCCGGCTCAGCTGGCCACCCCCTTTTTCAATGACTGTGGAGATGTGTAAGGCAGCCTCCTGGACAAGATGACACAAATGCAACATCTGTGCTGTCTTGTGGACCTCTAGGCTGACCAAAACCATGGTCACTGTACGTAACTCAGACACATACTCCATAGGTTGGCCTTCATCAATCTGCAAAGACACAGTGAATTACCTTGCCTGTACTGTCAACTCTCAGTATCGTGTTCAGGTATTTTAATTCTATATTTCATAGTGGGTATGAGAAAATAACCTATGGGTGTCAGGCAAAAACTTAAAAGAAAATTCAGATTCGAGAGGTATAGAAGATATACAAACCAGTGCACTTGGAATTAAAAGTCTTTAAACTTAATTCACTGATCAAATTTGTTGGGCTTTTATATTTTCTCTCCAAGAGTTAGTTTGATACGTTCAACTCCATCAGTAATTATATCTCTTACTGAGGGATTTACATATATTCATATATATACGATCAATCAATACATATTAAACAAGCATCTACTCTATACTTTGCTTACAGGTACTAAGTTCTTGAAGGACAAACTGAAAAACAAGCACGGCTTTTGCTTTTTAAGATTGAGAAATTTAACTAAAGGTATAAGACATGTTCATCACAGTAATTACTACCTTGGTGCAGATAGGGAAATCTGCTTGGATTATAATGGGGAACAGGAGATGAACTGGATCAATACAAAAAGGTTGTCATATATAAATGTACACGTATTTACACACACACAGTCTATATAATGATTCAAGAACTAGAAAACAACCTTCTTCAAAAGGTTTTTCATTATGTGCTTCTTCAGCATTTGCTCAAGTGCAGAGTCTGGATCCAATTCCAGTGCAGTTCTTAGAGTCTCTGAGGAAAGGAATACAAACAAAATTTCTCTGGCCATGTAGAAAATTAATCTTTAAAACTTTGAGCTTAGATAGAAAGGACAAAGTAACTTACCAGCACTTGTACGGTAATGTGGCAGATAATCGAGGCACTTGTCAAAATGCTCATCAAAATCAAATGGGTCAATGATTCGCATATCTCTTAACTACAGAAAAGAAACTGCTCAGTTCTGTGCCCATATACAACTTGATTACCACTGGTCCCTTAACAGAGGGGCTGAGGACTCTGTCTCCCTTCTTTACCCTTTATCTTTCCAGCCTTACTGTTCTGCCTCATCTACATGGGAGAATATCCCCAGCCTCCCTCCAGCACAGAGTTCCAAATGTTGTTGGTTTGGTCAGGCAAGATGTAAACACTACCAGAGCACTTCCCTCTATAGTAAGAAGGCCTTTTCAGGACCTGCAAGGTATGGGGCCAGCCTCCTACCTTCACAGCTTCATTCTCCCTCATGATTTCCACTTCAAACATGTACTGTTTACAGAGCTTCCAGCAGTTCCAGGACAGGACAATCTCATTTGTCTGAGCCAAACACAGAGCTAACTGGACATCATCTACATTCTGCCCAATCACCAAGAGGTATTGCTGCTGCTCATCTCCAACAATAACCTGAGAAATCTGACCTGCAGACAGACCTATGCAGAAAAGAGGAGACAAGTGGAGAATAGCCAAACTCAGTTGGGAAACTATGCAAATGGAGGGGTCTGGAATCCCTACATGGCTCTATGCATCATGCCAATCTTGTTATTGGCCTCAGTTGCAGATGTCTTAGGTGAGCTCACCTTTAAAAATAATATCTTGCCCCAGATATCCTTCACTCTTAAATACACCTAGAGATGGACATTCAAACAAGCTTGGGTTGTATGGGAGAAGAAACAAGAGATCCCAGGCCTCCAAGTGTCTTGTCTCTAAATTGCTCATCTAACGGACAGCTAGGCCCTGATATCAGAGAACTCAGGGAGGAGACCAAATTGTTACAGTCAGAAACTGCTACTACAGTGACCACACCATCCCTCCTCACATATAACCAGGACTGAGAAGACAATCAGTATTTTACCAGACATGAGTCTTATTTTACACTTTTATTCTACCTCCTATTTTTCTGGCCGTGGGAGATTTCTTACTGGTTTGCTTGCCAGGGAAAAAGTAATGATAACCAAGAGAAGTCTGCCCTTAGCTAAGCCACCCAATCAAATCTAAAAACCAGGGAAAAACAGTTTTAAAAGAATAGCAAAGACTTATACTTTTAGTCATGATGGAATAACAGGTGGTGAATTTACCCTAATGCCTGAAGCAACTAAGGAACTGGAAAAAAATACATAAAAGGATACTTTTCAAGATACTGGACACCATATAATAAAGGACAATGATCTCTGAGAGATGGAAAACAAATAAGGCAAACCCTTTGACACTCCAGCTAACTGCCTGCAGGGTTTCCAGGCCACATTTCAGGTGCAGCAGCAGACTTCCTGAGTTTAGTAGACAGAGCTGGGAGTCTGAGGAGGCCAAGGTGGCTAGAGTTCACAGGGCACTGTGAAGGGTACTGGAGAGTAGCAAAATATACAAGAGAAAACTCCAGAGATTTGTACTAGGTCCTCCTCAAGTCTTTAGCTGAGTACTGATAAGTGCTTGAATGTTAGGAAATCACCTGAGGCTGGAGAAAGAACACTGTAAAAAATCAGAAGGAACAATCCTTGATATCATACAGGGCTGGGAATGTATTTGTTCCCACTAGCCAGTGTCAAACTTAATTTACAGGATATCAAGGGCAGTATTCAGAAGGGGTTTGCCTCAGGAATGGGGCAAAATTAACCCTACATGAAACACAGTTTAAAAGTAATTCCCAAAAGGATCAAATTAACCATATCCCAGAACTAAGCTCAAGAATATTTATACAAATATTTAGAAAAAAAAAGATAGTACCCAAGGTAAAATTCATAATGTCTGGCACACATCATAAACTACCAAGTAAAGGGGCTGACTTGTTAGCTCAATTGGTTAGAGCATGGTGTTATAACATTAAAGTCAAGTGTTTGGATCTCTATACTGGCTAGCCACCAAAAAAAAAAAAAAATCGGGCATGCAATGAAGAAGGAAAACATGACTCATAATAAGGAGAACAATCAATTAATGGAGCCCAACCCAAAATAACACTGATGACAGAATAGACAAGGACATTAAAAGTGCTATTATACTATATTCCATATATTCAAGGACCTAGAAAAAAGACTGAACAGAGACATGGAAGATAAAGCAAAAACAAAAACAAGACAAATCAAACTCCTAAGGATGGAAACTGCAATGTCTGAGATGAAAAATATACCAGATAGGACCAAAGGAAATTAGACAGCAAAAGAAAAGTTTTGTAAACTTGAAGACATAGTAATAGAAACTATCCAAAATGAAACACAGGGAGAAAAAAGATAGGAAAACAATGAGCACAGTATCAGTGCATTGTGGAGTTGCAAGCAGCCTAATATGTGTGTAAGGAGAGGAGGACAGAAAAAGTTATTTGAAGAAATAATGGTAGAACATTTTCCAAATCTGAAAAACTAAAAACCTACAGTTCCAAAAGCTCACGAACCCCAAGTACAAGAAAAGTGGAGACACATCATAATCAGATTACCTAAAACCAGTGATAAAGAGAATATCTTAAAAATAGCCAGAAGGGTGGAGGGAAAGACATGTTACATACAAAGAAACAAAGATAAAGATAAAAGCAGATTTTCTGTTGGAAACACTGCAAGCTAGAAGACAGTGGAATGGCTTTAATGTAAGAGAGATAAAAACTCCATCAACCTAGAATTCTATACTCAGTAAAAATATCTATCAAACACAGACATGAAATACTTTTTCACACATACAAAAGCTGAACTAACACATTTCCGGCAAATCCACATTATGAGAAATGTTAAAGGAAGTTCTTCAGAGAGACAATAGCAAGTGTTGACAAAGATGTCGAGAAATTGGAAGCTTTACACATTGCTGGTGTGAATGTAAAATTGTACAACAGCTTTGGAAAACAGATTGACAATTTCTTAAAAAGTAAACATAACAGATGACCTAGTCCTTCCACTCCTAGGTGGAAGAGAAATGAGAGCATATATCCATACAAAGAATTGTACACAGATGTTCATAACAGCTTTATTTGTAATAGCCAAAAATTGACAACAGCTCTAATTTCCACCAATACATGAGTGGATAAACAAATTGTAGGATAGCTATACAATAGGATACTACTCAACAATAAAGTGAATGATCTATTGATACATGCTGCAAAATGAATAAATCTCAAAGTAATTATGCTGAATAAAAGTAACCAAAAAAATACATACTGTATAATTCCACATATATAAGATTTTAAAAAATGCAAAACGATATCTAGTGACAAATATTGGTGGTTGCTTAGGGAAGGGGGAAGGGAGTGATGGAGAAAGGTTGTACAAGGAGCACAAGAAAACTTTTATGAGTGATGGATATGTTCATTATCTTGATTATGGTACAGGTTTCAAAAGTGTATAAATATGTACAGTGTTGCTTATCCCTCAATAAAACAAAAAACAAAAGAACCAAAAAGGATCCACAGGACATGAGAGATGCCATATAAAACATCTTATTTCTTAAAAATTGCAGAGAATCTCACTGAGAAGACATATTATTGTTTATTTAATCTGTCTCCTATTTAGATGGATTTTTTAGTCTTTTATTACAAACCATATTGCAACAAATATACATACGACATTTCAGACATGTGCAGGTATACCTATAGGATAAATGTCCAGAACAGGGACTGGTGGGTTAAAGAATAAATGCACGTGTAATCTTGATAAAGATTACCAAATCACCCTCTGTAGAAGTTGTACTATTGTTCTCCATTCCTCACAAATTCACCAACAGAGTGTATTATCCAGCATCTGCCTTTCTGCCTATCTATAGGTAAGAAAGATAACCTCAATGCACTTTCAATTAGCCTTTTTCTTATTATGAGTAAAGTTGACCATTATTTTACATGTTAAAAAAGATATATTTCTTTGTCTATGTACTATTTACTCATGTCCTTTGTCCGTTTTTCTCTTAGAATGCTACTCTTTTCTTGATTTCCAAGGGAAATTCACCCTTTTGTCTACATGCGTAGCAGATATTTTTTCCCAGTTTGTCATTTGTCTTTTGAATTTTTCACAGTACTTTTTTTTTTCCTTCTTCCAATTGGATCACTATTTTAGGAGCTACTACCTATCTTTAGCTGCAGGTCCTGGCCTTCTCTGGTATGGTAGATTCCAAATTTCTCCTGTATCTCCAGACTGCATTTTGCCACCAGGGTAATGATGTCACTCAGTTGACACGGTTCCACTGTCCAGAGTGCCAGGAGCACATTCCCTGCAAAGACACAGGATAGGCTGACAGGGATCAAATATCTAGACTCACTTCGTCCAGGGCAAAGTCCCCATAATGCAGAAAATCAATTTGGTCCAGTGTGGATACCATGCAAGGTGTCAGGCAAAGTTTCTTGACCCTATACATTATGCTAGGCTCAAATACTGCCTTAGATCCTCCAAACCATTCAGTTTATAAAAACATGATTAGGTACAAGTTGAAATGTTCCTAAGGAGATTTTTGGTAATTTTCCCTCCACTAGTATACTAACAGAGGGGGAGGAGTACTAGCAAAGAGGTTCACAAAATGTAAGTTCAAGTTCAAATCTAATTATATGGCTGGTTTTATTAAGGTAAATGAGAAGAAAGGCCAACTCTGGAGCATACAGCTGTTAATGATCCTGAGAATTTTCCAGATAGGAGACTCTTGACTGCTACATCATGCTTAGCTTCTGCTATTAATGACCAAGTTTCTCATCAGTTTTCTTAGGACTTCTTTATAGGAACTTATTTTGTTGTCATTCAATCGAAACAAAATGCAAAGCATATGTGAGCTTAACATGTGCAAAACTTTTCCATGAGACTGGGAGATCATTTGAGGCAGGGACTGTATCTTCCTCATCTTTGTATCCCCAGGGCTTACATACTAAATAATCAAACAATGCTGAATAAACAAATTTGCCAAATTCCACCTAAATATAGTCTTCCTCCCTCACAGACCTTTAAATATTCAGAAAAACTGAAAAATACCTGTGATATTTAGGATATCACCTCCAAAACAGAGAATATCTGAAATCAAGTAAGGAAGAAAGAGGAAAATGAGTCAAAATCAGATATATCAGATCATGGCAGAATCTTATATTGTCCAAAGAATGGCCTACTGAGTTTTTCCTCATATCTTTTCTCGTCTATTTGTTCCCTCCAAGACTCAGGCTCCTTCCTTCCTCCTACCTTCTCCCAAATCTATCTGTACCAGTATACATCTTCTCTAATATGGAAGAAGTACTCCTGCTCTCTTCAAAGCCATCCTTTCTATTTGTGCTATGGATCTTATACCCTCTCACATTCTCAAGGACTTCACTCCCTCCCTTATCTTCTATTGGATCATTCCCATCACTATCTTAAAAATATCTCTCTATATAATCCATCTCTTCTTGACTCTACCTTCTCCTCTTGCTATTAGCTCAATTTTTCTGCTACACTCAAAAAAAAGGAAAAAAAAAACAAACAAACCCACAACTCAAGAGTTGGTTATATACCTTTTTCCTTTCCCTCATCTCCCATTTACTGCCTTTTAAATATTTTCTCTACCATTCTTTTCTCAGTTCACTCCAATCTTACTTCCATCTCCACTTCACTACAATTACCAAGGTCATCAGCAGCATTCATCTTGCTAAATTCAGTGTTTTTCTGACCTCACTGTACTTGACAGCTTTCATTTTCAATCCATCTAGCTGCAGCCTTCTTCCAGATACACTACTTCCCCTTTGGCTTCAGGAACACAATATCCTACCTCACTAGCTGCTTTAGTCTCTTGCAGGTTCTTTCTTGCTAATCATAATCCTCCCCCGGAGTTTCTCAAGCCTCAGTCTAAGGCTCTTCCTCTTTATATACGCTCTCCCCACATGAATTCAATCAGTTCTTATCTTTAAATACTATCTTTATGTCATCAACTCACATTTTCATCTCTAACAGAGATCTATTTCCTGAGCTCCAAGCTCAATCATAGCTACTAACTTGACTTCTCTACTTGAATGATTTATTGGCATCTCAAACCCAGTACATTCAAAACAGAACACTTACTTTTCTTTCTCAAAGCCCAGTCTTTACCATCTTGGTAAGTAACATTATCATCAATTCCGTTATGATAGCCAAAAAACTGAAAGTCCTTTTTCTCACAACTTCCCACTGAAATTCAATCCATCAGCCACTTCTGTTGAACTTGCAAAATATATTTCAAGTTAATCCATCCCCATATAGCTCCATTGACAGATCTCTAAATCAATGGTTTTCAGTCTTGACTGACGTTGGAATTGCCTGTGAAACTTTAAATATCCTTATTCCCAAGCCCATCCCATGCGATTCTGATTTAAATGATCTGGGGTGAAGCCTAGCCATAAAGATTTTTTAAACTCCCCAGGTAGTTATCTAATGTGCAACTGAGGTTGAGATCCACTACCTTAGACTAAATCTTCATCATATTTCCAGGACTGTTCCAACCGCCTCTTCCAGCTTCCACTCTTACAATTTACCCTCCACCAGCAACCTATAATCCAATTGCCATGAGGCAGCTAAAATGAGCTTTAAAAAAATGTAAATTAGATCATATTACTCCCCTGCTAGAACCTTTCAAGTTTCTCTTTGTACAAAAATATATAATTCAAACTCCTTACCATGGACTACAGAGCTTGATAATCTGATAGCTGCCTTCCTCCCACATCACCTCTAGCCACTCTTTACCCTGTTAGCTATGCCCTGGCCCCACTGGCCTGTCAGTTCCTAGAAAATAGCAAGCTTTCTCCTATCTCAGAACTATTGTACGAGTACTTGGCATTCTTATGCCTGAAATGCTCTACGCTATCTTTTCACAAGGTGTTCCCCTCATCCTTCATGTGTTAGCTTAAACACCACCTCCTCAGAGGAGCCTCCTTTGACCACCACTCATACAGAAACTCTCCCTACCCTACAATTATTTTGTTCAGTTATTATCTGTCTCTCCCACTAAAATGGAGACTCTATCATAAGGGCAGGTACTGTGTCTTACTTTCCCCTGTATTTCTAGTACCCAATAGTTCCTGGTATTCAATACATACACAATACATAATTTTTATCTTCTTCATCCAAACCTGATAAGAAGTGAAAAACCTTTTATACTTGTTCCTCAGGGATAAGGGGTGAGTTAAATAATAAAACTCCCAAAGGAGATGCCACAAAGCAATTATTATAGTGAATCTCACAGTGATGGATATAACTGTATGAGACACTGTCCGTAAAGGATGAAAATGTTATGTAAATACTAAAAGGCATAAGACCAGAGTAAATTCTGTTGGGTAGGCCTAACTAAAAAGCTCAAGAGTAGGTTTTTGCCCCCCACCTCCATCAACACCTATTACAGTGCATGTCACAGAGTAGGTACTCAAAACATATTTACTGCACAAATAAGTTTTTTTTCCAGGTTAGGTAAATATCCAAAAGTTTAATACACAGAAAAAATAGAGAAACCACCAATTCCTTCCTCACAGGGTCAAAATGCAATAATATAATGAAAAGGTATTTTGTAAATTATATCTGATATAAACACATGAGGCACATTATTGTTAGAAGAGACAACCTGAGGAATACTTTATTTTGAAATAAAATACAAACGTGCAAAGTAAAAATTAAAATTAGCTTTCTCCTGAATACTCAGTCAACAAGACATGAAATTGGGTAGAATGGCAGATAAAAGCAAAGATCTAGCTTGTCAGTGGCAACCTGAAGAAACCAAAGATGAGTAATGCTAAAGGAATGTGTCTCTAGAACCCATTTTAAAGTACTCCAGACCCCTTTCTCTTACAAACCCTCAGGAGCCCAGTTCCATTCCTCCTTGCTCCCCTACAATGACGACTCACGCTCCACGATGTCACTAATGTAATAACTGAAGATGTGGGCCAGTTTATCCATGTCATGTTCCGACTTGCAGGTCAGACTGAACCTGTCCATTAATGCTGTAAATCCTGACCAACAAAGCAAAAGTTACTGTTAGCTGCAAATCCTCAACTTTTAGGCCCCTTTCCCTCCACACATCAGGCTAAAGGAAACAGATCCCTTTGAGGTGCTAATTCCTTTATCCATTAATGTGGTGTTACTTGGAGAGAACTCAGGGCCAGGCTGGTTGCTGCTGCCTCTGGAAATCCAGGACGGCCGCGCTCTCCGTTGCTAGGGGCTGCAAATGGTGAAGAGTCACCCACAAGCGCCCTTTTTTATCGGAAGCCAGCTACCTCTTTCCTCCCAGTCTGTCAGGTTCCCCAGCCAAGAGAAACTACAGGATTTTCTTCCACGTAAGGGATAAAGAAACCACTGACAAAGGGAATAGATTAAAGCTTTACGAAGAACTCATATGCTGAGGACAGGCACCTTATATTGCCCTTCTTCATATCCATGACACACACACTCCATAAATATTTATTAAATCAAAAAGGCGCTAACGCCTAGAACAATGGCGGGCATATAATTATGGACCCCAAAGAACGAATTAATTGAATGAATAAAATAATTGAACGAAGCAAGAACGTTTATCGAAAAATGCTCGAGGTTGGTTGAAATCTTAGGCCCGGGAAAAAATCCTTTCCCCTGAGTCTCAATTTCATCACCTCTTAAGTGAGTTCAAGGGTTAAGCAGGTTTATCCCAAAAGGTGTCCCCCCACTCTGAAAATGAAGACCCTCAATGTCTCTATGGAGGCCAGGCCTGTAACCGACGCGGCCCTCTGGCTGGCCGGGAGACTGAAGCACCTCCCCTCGCCCTCACCCGTCACGTGGACGCCTAGGAGGACGCCCTGGGCCGTGGCAAGCTCGGGTTTCGATCCGCGGGGCTTCCGGAAGACCAGCAAATCGGGAAGCAGTGCCGCCAACCGGGCTCCCACTGACCACAGAGGCGGCACCACCTCCCGCTCGCCGGTCGCCATGCCGGCGCCGGGGCTGCCCGCCCACCTAGCGGAAGCAGGCCGCTTCGCGGACCAACCAGTCTGCATTAGCGGCAGTGGCGGGGGCCCGCCCACCGACCAATCTGCGCAGGCTTCCTTGGGCCAGCACCAATCGAAAGCCGTCGCGGGCCACCTCCGCCCTTGCAAACTTCGGAGGGGGAGAGGCAAGGGGTGCTTCCACAATGAAGTAGATCATCTGGATAAGTAGTAGTCGTTTCCCCGTATCACCACAGTAGAAAGTTGGGCCATCTCTGAATTTAGTAAGGACAAAACACCGTTAGACTGAAGTTAGTTAATACTGCCAGTCCTTTCCCTTAACTGTTAGTTTCTTCTCTTTTCGCACTCTGCCAGGACAGGTCTATTGGGTTTCATCATGAGTGTTCCCTGGGGTTGTTTTTGTCTAGCTCCTCTTTCCCAGACTTTTGTGTGATCATGGTATACTGGAAGCTGCCAGTCTTTGTTGCTAAGACTTCTGAAGATTATAGGCAGTAACAAGATGAGCATGCTGGAGATTTTTAACAATCAGAAAAGTATTTTTGTCTTGTTTCGTATTCTGTGGAAATAAACCAAAATCTAAAAAGAACATATATACGATCTTTTGGTCTACAACACAATTAATCAAGGCCATTTTAGTGATAACAACAGCAAAAAGGGTTAATGTTACTCACGGAATTACTTCATTACATTCTGATGAACATTTCCAGTAGTAAGACCCAATATCTGTCAGCCCACAGATGACAGAAAATATCTGCTCAGCACAGGAGGGCCAAAAGACATTAAAGGTAGATAAAGCTAAGAGGCCCTGACACTACAAGTTTGACACCGTCCACGGAGATCACATGTCTGTCTACAGAAGTCACAATTTAACATTATAAACATAATCTAGAACCCAGAGGATGCAGACTCCTCAAAAGCCAAATCACTTTTTAGTATTTTTATAAATTTATTTTTAAAAATAACAATTGCAATGACAGATCACCTGTACCTCCTCTACTGCTAGGGGAAAAAACCTTCTAAATAGTTGAGTCCCAAGGAAAATGAAGACATTATCATCAGGCACCCTATAGCCGAAAATGCAGTTGGTCCAGTGGTATAGACACTGACATGTTCAATGTACCCAGTGCAATTAAAATATATACATTTATAATTACCTTACAAAAAAAGGTACTCAAGAAGTGACATAACTATGCATTAAACCAATTATTCATTCATCCATTCACTCTGCATCTGTGAAGTCATCGCCACAATCACAAGAACAAATGAATAAAAGAACTAGTAACAAAGAAAAATCCAAATACCAACCCCCCTGCTCTCACTTCGTGGGCTATTTTGGTGTGCTAAAAATGACCACAATAAAAGGGTCTCTGCATCTGTGAAGTCATCGCCACAATCACAAGAACAAATGAATAAAAGAACTAGTAACAAAGAAAAATCCAAATACCAACCCCCCTGCTCTCACTTCGTGGGCTATTTTGGTGTGCTAAAAATGACACGAACTATCTGAAATGCAAGGACTAAATGACAACTGAAGTATTTAATTTCAAACAAAACAAAGTTCAAACTCACACCCCCAAAATAAATTCAGTAACAAATTGAGGTTGGTATTACCATATACAAACTTACAGACACAAATAAATATTTTAAAACTGTTGGCTTAAGCACTAGAAATTAGGTCCGGGGAATTTCATTCTGAATTCTGCATCTCAGATTCCTAAACTAAGGGATATAAATTCCTCATTCTTTTTAGTAATCTATCATCTGAAAAACCTGGAACTTAGTGAATAAAGTTTTATCTGAAACTCACATGAAAAGCCAGAATTTCCTAGTGAGCTTATCAAAGGGTCAACCCCTCTGACATTTGGCAACCAGTACAGACTACTAGATTCCCAGAACTAGAAAGATATTTCACTGGCTGTTTCCTTCACATAGCTCTGTGTGTCTATTTTTACCATTACAATGATGTCCCTTTGTGACATTTTCTTTAGAGGGTATAATTACTTTTCTGTCTTAATACAGTTCCAGTGAAGTCAAAGCATCAGAAGAATTATTGGGTTTCCTTCTTTATTTCCAGAGAAGGAAGCTGACTCTTCTGAAATACCATTTTAGTTCTCCAAGGGTTCAACATCTAGAAAAGAAATAGATTTCTGAGGCACAACCCATCCGGGGAACTGTGACCCAGTTCCTGACCCTGCAGGTATCTCTATTTCCAGTCTGCAAATTATTTCTACATTATGAATGCAATGTGAAAACCTTTCTGTACAAGGCCTATGGAGAAAGGGGAAAAAAATTGGAAACTGGCACTAAAGAATCAGCTGCCATGGGAAGAATGAGAATGTTCACTCTCTGGGGCCAGCACAAAATGTGGCATGAGTGAAGCCAAAATCCACCTCAGGCTCTGGCAGGTAACCTGAACTATGTCCAGGATGGCATGATTGAAAAGTGCTTTCCAGAAACTGTCAAGAACCATGTCTCAGACTTCTCCCTTTCAGTGCTTATTAAAAGGTTTTAGTGTAAATGTGAATTAGTCTCTTCATCTTAATGACCAATCCCAGGTATCCATCCACTGGAGAATCATGCCCTATGAAAACGCAGGGATATATATACTACTCTCTCTGCCCCCACCTCCTAAGCTGAAATGCACATGAACTCTTCTATTCCCCAAATGCTGTCACAAAGCCTATGATTGAAAATCTCTAGTTTGGCTCTCTGTTTAGATGTTACTACAAACGTCCTCAGCACGCTGATGAAAAGTTCCGTTCTCTACTTAGGAAGGGCAGTCTCAAGGTCCAATACCCTCTAAATTGTATTACAAGTAGCTATAGCAAGAACTTATGGTCCAGATGACCTGTCAACACTGGGAAACAAGCAGATTACAACTTGTCAAAGCTAAAAAAGAGAGATTCAGCAATGTGTATTTTTAGTGCTTGAATCTTTTACCACTCAATCCCCAGAATTAGCTTTTTCTTGGCTGGAGTCCAAAGATATCCAACCTACCATCTGGGCAAACAGAGATTCTTATTATTACCACAGATTAGATGAATGTACCTCAGAGAATTTATTGTTTCCATATCACAAAATGGAACTTCCTTGCATGGAAGCCATCTCTGAATACAAACTGTCTATTCAGTTAGTCAGCCTGAGATCCCCCACCAGAGGGATGGATGCTGTCTAGATTCCATGGGAAGAAGTGGGCTGTGGCTTCCCTGATTGCAGGTTAGGTAGAGAAGGTTGTTCTCCCCTGCTGAAGTGGCTGGCTAACTTCACCAGTCAACATAAGTGCTTCTATACTGCCAGGCTGGCATGTGTCCCTTTGCATCATCCTAATCCATGAAATGTCAATGTCATCAACAGTCTGAAATAGTTCTGACTGAAAAAGTTAGACAGAGGCTTGCAACTTCAATTTGCCAGACATTGCTGCAATTATAATACTGAGCCACTTTTAAAAACTAAGTGGTTTCTGTCCTGTAGAAAAGGTCAGAATGTGATCGTCAGTGTCCCATTGGAAGAGTTGATCAATTTCCTGGAACAGTGGGAAAGAGTGGCGAGGAACATGACCTTGATCAGCTCCACCACATAGCCAGGGGTTAGGACACTCGGATGATCTGTGTCATTGCTTCATCATCAGCTTGGTTTGGATCCTAGAGAAAAAGACAACATAATAATGTTTGAAGTCCTTTGCAAAGCCACAGGGAACTCCTGGCTCTCACTACTTAACCCCAAGGGAATACACACAACTTTGCCAAGTAATTCACAGACCTGTAATGTATTTAAGTCTGCATACACAGTTTAAAATGCAGACCCATTAGGAAAGAGACAATAAACCCTATTCTTTAAAGTATTTAAAGCCTGGCCTGGCCCTCCATCACCAAACTCTCCGGAGTTGATAGTGTACTACATCTCTTTCGTGAGTACCCTGTGTTGTGCTCTACCCTTAAGCATATTCATGTGGCTAAGAAAAAGACCCTGAGAAACGATGTCTTGCTGTATATTTGTGTCACTATTTCCTGATCATCCCATTTAAATACTGAGTTCTTAGCAGGGCTGGAAAGAACATTAGGATGGATACAGTTCAACGCACTCATTTTGTAGATAAACCTGAAGCCCGGATGGGTAAAGTGATTTGCTTGGACTAGAGTCAGAAAGTTAGTCTAGAGTCCAGCGAGGTCTTACTCCCAAATCTCTTGGCTTCCATTTAATCTTCTTTCCACTAAGCTCTGTGTGCTGCTTCTCACTTAAGACCTGCAGTTTTAAGACAAGGATCAGTCCTTGGAAGCTTTTTACAACACTCCACAATAAACATCTTTAGTTTCCCCATACCAAGGTTCTGAAGACTCAGTAGGCAAAAGCTGAAAGATTTCTGGAGGTGGAAGGATACAGCTGGGTCTTGAACAATGAGCAAGAACAATAACTAACATCTACTAAGTGCTCTCCATGCACTAGATATGGTGCTTATGGTGCTAAGTGCGTGCCTAATGCGGATTATTGCATGAAATCCAAACAACATTCCTGTGAAGTATCCAACAGTGTTCCACTTTAAAGATAAAGAAACAGGCTAAAAGAGGCTAAGTAACTTGACCGAGGTCATATTGTTAGCACACAGAATTAGGAGAAGATGGTTCCCGGAACAATGCTATAGCTGACAGTCTACACTCACACACTATATGAATGAATAGCAATGAGAAAGGAGGGCCTCATGTGTGGGGACACTGGGGAAACCTAGTCTGATTGTTGAGAGGGGTATGAGACAAAAGTTGCTAAGATGTCATACAGTAATGGCTTGAGATTCACAGATTGCCAGTTAGCTCAGTTGGTTAGAGTGTGGTGTTGATAACACCAAAGTCAAGGGTTTGGATCCCTATACCAGCAAGCGCCTCCCTTCCACCCCTCGAAAAGAAAAGAAAAAAAAAAAAAAAAAGAAATACTTTGAAATTTGATGCAGTTAAGAAATGAGAAACTAGCATGCATTCTTGAGCAGGACATCGATGTGATAAGAAACACACTATCATTTAAAGATGGATCTGGCAATACTTCATAAGGTCAATTAGAGAAGACTGGAGAACAATTTAGAGGATACTGCAATAGTGCAGGTGGAATGTGATGTTCATATAGAATAAAATATAAGTAAACAAGGGGAATCAATTAACCCAATAAACATTTACTGAGTGCTTATTCAGAACTGGACACTATGCTAAGTTCAATAAATAAAACAAAGAACACAACAATCCTCTGTCCTCTACACAACTTACATAGTGAGGTAAACAATCTTGAACAATTAAACAAATAAAACAATTTGATTATTATTACACTCTAAAGAAAAGAAAGATGTCATATGAAATACTGAAATAGAAGAGACCTACCCTTCTATTATACAGGATAGGGTGGACTAGGGATGGCCTCTCAAATTTAAACCAAGACTTAAAAGATAAGATAGCCATGAAAAAGATAAGAGTGAAAAGCATTACAGACTGCAAATTTTTTTTCCCCCTTTTTGTCTTTTTTTACTGACCGGTAACGGGATCGCAACCCTCGGTGTTGTGCCCGCACCGCGCTCAGCCAGTGAGCGGGAACCGGTCTCCACATGGGATCCGAACCCTCAGCGGGAGCGCCGCCACACTCCCAAGCAGCACACTCTCCAGTGCGCCACCGGGCCAGCCCCACAGACTGCAAATTTTAAGGACAAAGGCAGGAGCCAGATCAATGAACAGTGAGCAAGAGCAAAGAGAACAAGAAGCAGGAGGATACGAAGCTACAGGTGGACAGGAGCCACAGCATGCACGGCCTTGATCACCATGGTAAGCACTCTGGATTTCAGTCCAAGTACAAATGGGAGACGGTTGTGGTTGAAGAAGCTTAAGCAGAACAGTGATGTAATACAATATATATTTTAAAAAGGGAGACCAGTGAGGCAGCTGTTTTATTAATCCAAGTCAAAAAGGAGAGGATTAGACCAGGCTGACATCTGCTAAAAGAGGAAAAAAACAAACCAATCCAAATTATATTTTAGAAACAAAACCAAGAGGACTTCTTCAAGTGTTGGACAGTTCTAGCTTTAGTAACTGGTTTAGAGGCGAAATAAACAAATCAAGAGTTCTGTTTTGGATATACTCAGAAATTAGTGGAATTACATGTATGAGTGGAATTAGTGGAATTACATGTATGAGGCAGTATAGTACAGAGTTAGAGTAAATTTTGGAATTATACTACCTAGGCTTGAATTTCAGTTGCATCACTTTATTAAGTATTTTACTTTAGGCAAATTATTTAACCTCTCTAACCCTTAGATTCAATTGTAAAATGAAGATAATTCTCATCTCATGGGGCTTTAGGTTGCTGTAAAGATTCAATGAATAAAAAAATGTTTATAAAAGTGCTTAACATAATGTCTGTGACACAAGTGTTAACTGCTGCTGCAGCTACTACTATTACACTAAAAGACAATAAACCTTGTTCCTTGAAAATTAAGAAAATTGAGAATTTCAAGAAGGAATTAATAGTAATAACTTGGAAAGATGAGGGGGGAAGAAAAGGCCACTGATCAAAGACTTTTAGTGCTTTAAGACCAAAGAGAACCTAAGAGACACAATGTTGCATCCAGTTTCCAGAATGTGATTAGTCCCTCAGTGTGAAAATAGCAAGAGGACACTGCTGAAGGCTTCAAACCAAGAAAATACAAGGCAATAAAAAGAACGAAGGGTATAAGTCTTCTCACCTGCATATGGGGACTATCCTTTACCTTTGGAGAGAAAAATCGTCCACCTTCACCACGCTTCCGTGCCATGGCATGACGGTGCCGAGACTCATGCAGGTATTTCTAAAACAAGAGAAATAAAACCATTTGACTACAAGCCACAATCAGCATAGTTATTCAGTGCACAAATTCCATCCTCAAAAGTTTAAGACAGCTGTGATCAAAGCCACAAGGGATAACTATGACTTTGAATTATGAAAAAAGCTCTGGAGAAAATACTTCATTAGTAAGTGAATAAGACAGCAGCTAACCATATATAACTACCATAACAATGTGAATGCTAAGTGAATTAAAAAACAAAAGTAAGGTAGAGATCACTACCTACCCTTCCTCTACATATCCTCCCATTTTGCTTTAATAACAGACCAAATTTTAGTTGGGCAAATGGCTGCTCAGTAAAAAAAGACTGCATTTCCTAGCTTTATTTGCAGGTAAGTGTGACCAGGTAACTAAATTACAGCTAATGAGATATATGGAACTTCTTGAAAGTTTCCCTGAAAGAGAGGATGCCTTTCTTGTTCTTTGCTCCTAGGCTGGAGCCCAAGCAGCTATCTTAGACTATGAAAAGCACACTAAGAACAACAGAACAGTAAGACAGGAGAATGGGTCTTAAGAACCACAGAAATGTGCTACCAGTCCAGGACAATTTATATGTGGAATTCTTTTAAGTAAGAAAAAATAAAATAAAATCTTGTTTAAGCCACTGTTTTTTTGTTGTTGTTGTTACACTTGAAGCTGCATACAGCAATAACAAATGCTAATTCTTACAAAAGATAACAAGTATCCAACCTCAATTGTTCGGAAGGTACACAAGGAAAGAAACCATACCAAAGGTAATTTCAAAAGTAGAACCCTGCTGTTCTCTTCCTGTGTACTTCCCAATGTTATACACACCCTTCTTTCCTTTGGAATTTTCCCTTCTGCCTCTAGTTTGGCCCGGGCTTGCCTTCTCTTAAGAATACGGTGGTACTGTTTGGCATTCACATAGAGAGGCTCTTCTTCAAGCATCTCTGCTCCAGGTAGAGGGATTCTTTGAATAGCAGGTACAGAGCCTGCTCCAGGCACCATCTGTGTAAAGAGGAAACCAGAGTTTATTAGTGGCACGGATTATGGACAAAGAAAACAGTTTCTTGGTCCCTGTTAATCTATTTTTTTCTAAATGTCACACACACAAAACTTTCATGGGGTATCTGGTTAAATGCAGATCCCTGAAGAACATTTATACTAAAGGTCTGAACTTTAAACAAACATCCCAGATCACTAGGTCATAGGGGGTTGAGGGGCCACTCAGAAATGACATATCCATGCCCAAATTCAAGTCCACTCACGGCTCCAATCCCTAGGTATGTCTGCTGCCATCTAATGGTCAGAAACAGCAGTCATAAGACAATAAAACAGCACAAAGGAATAAAGGTACAGATTGACTATGTGGTACTGAATGCCTATATTTATAGAAATAATTTAATTAAATAGTTAACTTACTATGTGATTCATCCTAATTCTTCTAGAAAAACAAAGAAAACAAATAAACAAAGCACTGTACTATATGTATAAGGAAACAAGTAACAGAGAGTCCTATAACCCATACCCTTCACAACCACTTTGAATGATTGTATGGATTCTTCTGGCAGCTTTCTCCACCTCTGTGTGGACTCCTACTACTCATTCTTAATTTATACATTTTAGGAACTGTGCACTAACATCCTGTTTTGACATATGAGGATCTAGCTTTCACTCACAGCAGCCAACTCTCTTTCCCTATCTTCTCAATATATTTATATGACACATTTTTTTCATTTCTCTATTGATTACAACCTTTCTAATTTTTAGCTCATTTCTTGTTTTATCCACCACGGGCAATATATTTTCCACTTCTCAAAGATTAGTGGCCTACCCTTCCCTTCATTATTTGAATTCTGAATAGTATTACATAAAATCAGATATTTACACCTGTTTATCCATTCCTATATCTCCAGCACCTAGAATAGTCCCTGGCACACAGTAGGTGCTCAGAATAAATTATAGTTTGTCATGTTACCATAAAAGTAGATCACTGTAAGTGCCCTAAGGATCGATCTCAATCCCAAGAGGCCAACACTATAAACAAGTTTTATGAGAGACATCAAGTTGCAAGTTCAAGAAATTTCAAAGACAAAGATATACATGGAAACTACATTACATGAGAACAGAAACCTGAAGAATCAATTTTCTTACCATGACCATCCCTCCTGAATTGACCACATTGCCTGCCACTGGCAGCGTCACAGTAACAGTCCCTTGCCCACTGCTGGTTGTGTTGGTGTTAGCTCCCGTCTGAACAATCTGTGCTCCTGCCAAACTGGCTGCTGGGATGGTGATCATGCCTGAAACAGGGACTGTAACTTTAAGAAAACAAAACATAAAACAAACAAAAAACAGGCACACAGAACAGAAAGAAGGGA